CTGGCGTAACTTTGGCCATGGCAATGGTTCTTAGAAAGCTCACTGGCCCATTTTAATGCTGGGTATGGCTGTTGATTGCTTATATAGTTTATACTTTTCTTGCCTGGCGTAATTAGGCCATGGCAATGGTTCTTAGAACCAGAAAGAAGACCTCAATGGCGCATTTTAATGCTGGGTGTTACTGTCGATTGCTAATACAATTTAAAGTTTTCCTGCCTGGCATAACTTTGGCCATGGCGATGGTTCTTAGAACCAGAAAGAAGAGCTCAACGGCCTATTTTAACTTTAGGTGTGGCTGTTGATGGACAATAGATTTTGTTAGGTATTTTGCCTGGTGTAATTTGGCCGTGGCAACGGTTCTTAGAACCAGAAAGCTCATTGGCCCATTTTAATGCTGGGTGTGGCTGTCGATTGCTTATACAGTTTATAGTTTTCCTGCCTGGCGTACCTTTGGCCATGGCGATGGTTCTTAGATCCAGAAAGAAGCTCAATGGCCTATTTTAACATTAGGTGGGGCTGTTGATGGACAATAGATTTTGTTAGGTATTTTGCCTGGCGTAATTTGGCCATGGCGATGGTTCTTAGAACCAGAAAGAAGACCTCAATGGCGCATTTTAATGCTGGGTGTTACTGTCGATTGCTTGTTCTTAGAACAAGAAAGCTCATTGGCCCCGTGATCATAGCCAATTCATCTAGGGAGACTTACTCCTGCCCGATTCGTGGTGCGTGACAATTAAATGCCAATCGTCGAGAGATGGTCCTCTGTCTTCTCAATGGATGGCAGCACTCTCAGGCACCGTGAAGACATGGACAGAGTGACGGAGTCTGGAAAGGAGTGTGGGGGCTCGTCCGGCACCACGCTTCTGTTGCTGCTGCCCTGTATTTTGCATGAAACTCCACTTCCCACGATGCTGGCCACTTTGCCCTCTCAAACTCTCCTGCGCTGGGTTGAAGGCGTTTTGGGGCTTGTGCAAAGTATACGGCAGTAGTGGGAGAATTGTGGTGCTGGACCGCCCCCCTCGGCAGACCTTTCTAAACCCCACTGCTCTGTCCTCCACCTACCCAATGCCCATGGCCACTGCCATCCATTAAGAAAACAGAGGGCCATCCTTTGGCGCGGCTATTGACATTTAGTTGTTCCGCACTGCGAATCAGCCAGAAGTAAGTCTCCCTGGCTGGATCGGTCGTGATTAGCCGGGGAGGGGAGGGCCAGCTGCGAATGAACATCCAAGGTAGGTCAGCTGCGTTGGGGACACGGGGCTGAAGTGGATGCAAAAACGTGGCCACGATCAATTGTCCCATTCCGACATTTACTTGCTGGTTGAAAGAGCAGCAGAGGGCGCAGTGGCACAACAAGATGAATGAAATGTGCAGCCAATGTAGTGGTGGGATTCAAATCTTTGAACAACTGGTTCTCTGCATGGATGCAGGCCTGGGCCTCTGAGGCCTCAAACAGACTTCTGGAAGTGGCATCCCCGTACTTCCAGCGGGCTGTTCTAGGCCTGGGAGGTCTCCTCCAGGCCTCCGAGACCTAGAATGAACTTCTGGAAGTGGTGTGCATTCAGCCAGTTCTCTGAACTCAATAAAATTTAGCTACCGGTTCTGCCGAACTGGTGCGAGCCGGCTGAATCCCATCACTGAGCCAATGGATATTGTACAATTGCCCTGATAGCTATAAATAGACATGTTTTGCTATTCAGAGATATACATCGGGAAGTTGGAGGGATTGGAGGCATTTTTTGTGCATGTTGTTTTGTTTTAAAATTATGTATTTAAAACAATCTTGTTTTCCACTCCTGTTTTTTGTACAAAACAATCTGATTAAGAGTTTGGAAGCTCTTGTGACATGCAGGGCTATCCTAGTAAAGATATCATCCAATTGTGGATTCATTCTAGACTTGCTGCTGTAGAAGCATTTTTGATTATTTGCTGATAGCTATGCCCTATTGGATATCTGATACCAGCAGCAGATCTGAGACAGATTCAAAAACATTGCCATCCATAACACAAGAAATGACAGGTGCTGCCACATTGCAGTGGCCATTAACCATGAGATGGTTTCAAAAGACTTTCAAAAGAATACTGTATTGGTGCCCAAAAGTTATGGGATTTAAAATGCAGACTGTAGGTCTGCAGGGAATAAATACCCTCTCATTTTTTCATGTTATTTTTTTTTTAAATTGCTCAGTGGTCCTGCTTTCCTTAACTCTTGATCTTACCCACTTTCAGTGTATAGTCTTCTAATTCTGTGTGATGGACCTCACTTAAATTGTGCGCCCTTGATATAGCCAATACTTGGTCAGGGGAATCACCATGCACCGTCACTTTTAAATGAACCATAGTCACCTGGATCACATATAATTCTAGTCTCAAATGGGTGATTTGTGGTGCTGAGCCCTATCATAGCTTAGCAGAATGGACAAACAGAACTATATTATCTAACTCAGATATTATATTCACAAAAGCAATTTCTTACGAAGAAAGCAAATGAAATTTGGGGCCTTTTTTGAGCTGGTAGGAAAAAAACCACAATCAATATTGGTTTCCTATAGCAAAACTCCATTTCTGAGGTCAACCAGAATCAAAGTGAACGGTGCCCAATAGTTTGGGGATGGAAGAAAGGAACAAAGGAACAAAGAAAAGAATCCAGCAACTATCTTTCCACATCCACAGCAGGAAAAAACAGTATCAAATACAGAAAAGCAAATTGGGATCTGCTTTTCCCCCTTCGTCTAAAATCTCCTACCTGAGGCAGCTCTTTCACTTTGCCTAATGGTAGGGCCAGCCTGATCTGGTTTTCACAAAACGTTTGCTAATAGGATATGCAACATAAATGTACCACCTGTTTCAGTTTGAAGGCCACACCAGCCAGGACAAGGGCATAGGTGATTTCTAGGACAAAACTAAACTCCATTAAATTTATATTAATGAAATATAGTTCCGATAATTATTTTGCTTGTGTGGCCCTGAGGTCAGAATTTGGATGCCCTTGATTAAAATGTCTTAAAGCTCTCCTTTAAGTCTGAACCCACCTGCCTTGAATACATACACGGTTAGAGAAAATGACAAAAAAACATATAGAGTTTAAGCCAGAATTATTTTTGTTAGGCATAATCGTAGGTAATTATGAGAATGTATATATTTAATTTTACATACACTAACTGCAGCAACAATTGTATTCGCTCAATACTGGAAAAATGAAGATTTACCAGCGGAGGAAGTGTTAATTAAAAAAATGTTAAGAGTGTGCAGAAATGGATAGATTGACATTAAAAATGAAAGAGAAAGAAGACTCAGTTTATTTTAGAACATGGGATACTTTTTATAATTGGCTAGAAAAACGAGGTAGAGAGAAAGAAACTGAATATGTATTAGAAAACTAGACATTGAAACCCAGACAATATGTTGCTGATAATATTTTAAGCACTTGTGATTATAAAAAAATAATAAAAATATATTTAAAAAAAAAAGTCTGGACCCACCTGCCTTGAAACATTTCCTGCATTACACTTTCTGTCTTCTATCCAACACCCATTTCTTTCCATACCCATTTTGTCTTCTTTCCATACCCATTTTGCAAAAAGTCAAGAATGGGTGTTATAAGAATGGGTGTATATACAGTTTTCCCTGTGTGCTTTGGGCCCCATTCAGACCTGATCAAGTGACTTGTCTGGTTTTGTTGCTGCTGCCATGGGGATGAAGGAGTTTTTAAACTGTAGATTTTTAACTCTGGATTTTTAATGTTATACACTGCCTGGTCACTGCATGTGAGTTGGGAAGGCTATATAAATTTGTTAAGTACGTACGTACCACTTGGTGGTTCTGATCATCAGTTTAGTTCTGGTTTAGTTTGCCTCACCAACCTGCTCCTTGGAAAGAGTTTTTTCAGTGTTCTTGCACTGCATCACAGTGCCCAACATTTGAACCCATCAATGTCGCGGAAGAACCAGGCCACTTTTCTGCCACTCGCTCAGCCCTGCAGAGAAACGGTGAAGAAAAACCAGATTGCCTTTGTTCTCCTCTGATGAACAGCCTGAGATTGGATTAGCGTGAATTGTCTTGAACAGAGAACGCTTGTATTTCCGGCCAAGGCACTGGTGCCTTCTGAAAGGCACATACTGTACATGTATGCTGCTGGTCTTTGTATATACATACCCCACACACTTAGAAATGTCGGAGCACGTGCCTTGTGACTCACACACCCACTCTCCGGGGCCAGGAAGTGGCAAGAAGAGGAAATGATTGGTGCGGCCTTTCGTTCCCTTCCAGATGCTCGACATGCCACACTCCAAAGGCTGTGAAGCAGCCGCCATGAAGGTGAGCGACCCCTATTCCCAGTTTTCTTTCTAACAATAACTGACAGCCCCCGTCCTTCGGTTTCCTGCCTCTGGAACAATGTGCTAGCTGGGAAATTCTTTGCTGGAAGTTAACTCTTTGGGTTGAAGAACCTGACTCTGGATAAAAGAGGTGGCGGGGGGGAGGGAGTAGTGGCAATAAATGAAAACCACATGTCCCACCGAGAAAATCTTGGGAAGAGATGGAAGGTCAGTGGTAAGCAGAAAAGCAGAGTTGTAAGCCAGAAGACAGACAGAAAAGCACAGTGAGATGCATTTCTCCCCACTTTTGTTGGCCCTGAAATGCCCTTTTTCCCTCCTCCTTCGCTTTGCTCGCAGGAAGTTTTTTTTTCATACAAGAAATGAGAACTTTGCGTTATAGTTAATGATGGGGGGAGAGAGTGTAACAGTTTAGCTGTAACAGTAGATTCCAAAACTTTAGGCTTCAGAGTTAGAGCAGTTTAGAACTTCAAAACTGCTGCTGTGTATTTGTGTGCGTGTTTGTGTATATACTATTGAGAAAACAAATAAGAGCAGAGAAAACTCATTTGCCTTCTCGGTTACAAAGCTAACAGTCAGGAAGGGGATAGTTAAATTTCAGGGATGTGTAGGCTACAGTAGATTGGCAGGAATCCCGTAGGAGAGGGTTTAGCAAATCCACCCAGCCTTATGATGCAGAAGTGAGAGGCCACACTAGGTTTCTGTCAACCCCAACGGTCTTTTGTGATGAGGACGTTGGCTGGCTGACAACGCCAAATGGCCTTTGCAGACGGCAGTACTATGGCACGGACGTTTTGGGGAGTTTTTCCTCCAGCAAACTGCAATATCCTCAGCTGTCTCAGTGAAAGGAGAATCTGTTCCACTGGCTGGAAATGTCGGTATTTTTCCAGCTCAGGAAACTTGGATCTACATGGGACTGTGAGCTTCATCAGAGCTTTTGAACAAACCAGAAATGCCTGTTAGGTTGTGAAGCGGTCACTTAAGATAGAATCACGCAACATGTAGGGTAGGAATTTTGTGAGTGTGTGAGTGTGAGTGTACAAATGTTGTTCCCCCAACCCTGTTCTATTATTTGCTTTCTAAATGTCAGATTTATGTGATCAGGCATTAGGAAGTTTTGTTTGTGTTTAGCGCACTGCAACACAGTGCTAAAAAAGGGAGGGAATATTTGAATTATCTATATTCTGATGGGAAAATATTTTCTCTCCATGTGAGTCTATTAATGTAAGGGTTTGGATGGACTTCTAGATTGAGGTGTTTTTGTTAAGAAAACATTTCCTTTTTTTCATTCATGGGTGCCACGTTGGTAAGCATTCAGAAACAATTAGAAAAGAAATGCCACTCATTTGTTGGCTTAAAGGATGAATTTGATTCCGTTTTTAAAAAAAAGACTGCCGTTTAAATAGATGAGAAGAATTAGATTTTGCTGGTTCATTACAGAAATGATAAATACATGATCCAATTTTTGATTTCACTTATTTTCACATGTTGGAATTAGTAAATGTGCATAGAGAAAATAGGTTGATTGCATATTGTTTAATCCAAGCTAATTTTAAAAACAACTGGTATGTTAATGGAATATGGGCCCATTCTGAAAATCTGGGAAGCTTTCATAATGAAAAAAGATCTTTCTTTAAACATAGAAATATCTGCAGATGAGGAACAAGACAGTGTATTCCCACCACTCTAAAGCCATTAACATTCTTTATCTTGGCATCTGCTATTCTGAATATGGACAAACTAAAATGTATGACTCCCATAAATTATGTCTAGAGAATCCTATACTAAGGCAGTTACCTACTCTGTGACGTAGGTGGGATCTGCACTTGATTTATAACTGTAACTTGCCCCATATTGGTTTTATTGATAAATCTGGGTTGATTATGTGGTGATTCAGGGGTGGAATCATGGGACAGAGTTAGAAAATACATCACAGTTGATTCATAATTCTGTTTTTTTTCCCCCAGCTCATTTTTTTTGTCCTACTTGCCCTTGCAAATCTCACAGTTCCTGTAGTCTCACAAGGTAAGAAGCTAGCTATTTTTTGACATGGGTCTAAATATGTGTGTCCCCTCATCTCCACAGTAGTGACCAGAAATGGGTTTTGTTCATTTATTTCACTCTACAGTGAGATGAACAGCATATAAATTTAATAAATAACATTTCCTATGACTGTCGACCTTTCATACTATCTGATGCATGGGAATCTTTCAGAGTTACAGGAAAACCTAGCAAAGCCTTACAGCTTAGAGCCTGAGATCACCTGGGTGATCCAAAGGTCAGTTATTTATACTTTCTAAAGCCATTTTATCTGCGTCCCAGCAGGAATGACAAAATGTCAAGCAGAGTATGGCTCTCCCACCCTCCACAATGTAAGAAAAAGATCCCGTAGTATAATTTTGCATCTCTTAGTTGGAGTGTTTGCTTACTGGCATTATGACAGCAATTCAGTCCATATCCATGCAGTTCTCTTATACAGATCAGAGATTCTAAAAGTTCCTTTTTACTTAATTGTAGTACTGGGCTTTTTGTTGTTATTGTGCTTTTCTTAAATTCACAGAGAAATGCTTATTTATCTGGAAGTTACCCATTGATTTATCCTTGGTCTTAATCAATGTAATTTGTAGCTAGCGTGGGACAATTTTTGATGGTGTATGTAATTTATAAAGATGCATTCAGATAAATTAAGATGGGGAGAGGAACAAGAAAGAAAACTAAGCAGGGGACCCCCTTTTATCACCTCCTGTTTTTCCTTTTTCCTTTAATATCCACAAGAGGTGGGAAGGAAGATATCTGGAGGAGCTAAAAAAATATTGTGATTCATTTTATTCTTGAGATGAAAATTAATTCTCTTTAAACAAGCCAAAACATATGCTGGCATTTTCCATATTTCTTTTTTTAAAAAAACAAACAAACCCCATAGCGACAATTTTACATCTTTTCTTGCATGCGTTGCAAAGCCGAGAGCCAGATTGTATTTTTAAAAATTATTTTTAAATATTTGCAAACTGCTGGCAGAAAGAAAGGTGAGGAAATGTACCCAACTTGGGATCATAAGCTTACTACAAAGGATGAGAAGAAGAAGAAGAAGAAGGAGGAGGAGGGAGTATGGGACATGTTATGAAGGAAGGATGACCATTCTGGCATCAAATAATTGTACAGATAGTCCTTGACTTATGACCAAAATTGAGCTCAAAATTTCTGTTACTAACCAAGGTAGTTGTTAAGTGAGTTTGTCCCATTTTACAACCTTTCTTGCCACAGTTAAGTGAATCTGCTTCCTGGGGAATTCTGGGAGCTGAAGTCCACAGGTCCTAAAGTTGCTAAGATTGGAAACCCCTGGAGTAGAGCATTGATGAGGAGCCTATGGGACCTTGGGCTATCTTCAACCCATGAGAAATCTTTTTCTAAGCCATGTATCCTATTCAGGCTGGAGCGCACTCCTTATCACTTTCAGTATTAAAATCTCCCGTGCCTGGCTGCAAGATCTTACTTTTCCAATGACAGCTCTGTTCATTGGTGGTTTCCATTTGTTCTTTCAGTCAAGGTGGTGTTGAGTTTAAGCTATGCTTTTTATGGTTGCATTTTGTATTTCTAGTTTTATTTATGTCCTGTTTTCCCTATAACTTGATGGAAGATATTGGTAATTGGCAGGATCACTTTAGAAACTTTCTCCTAGCAAACCATGTTAGGCACCACCCAGGTCATCGCCAGTCTAGGAATTTATAGCATCTTCTGGAGTCCTCCAACTATTGTTTTGCCAAACTAACAGTAACATAGACAGGTTTTATGTCACTTCACTGATAGCTGGATGATGCAATGCAATCTACGTGCTGTAAATCACTATAGCAGAAATTAGTGATGACATCTGAGGAAGGAACAATCTTGGAAGTGACTGCCTTTAGGTCGTCAGATTGAAGTGAATTCAATTTGATTCCCCATTCAACTTTGGTGACCTCTGGAGAGTTTGACTTCCCTCTCTTTTCTTTTTATCTCAACTCAATCTGTTACTCAAGGACAATGTTTCTCAACCTTGTCAACTTTAAGACATGTGGACTTCAACTCCCAGAATTTCTGGGAGTTGAAGTCCACACGCCTGGAGTTGAAATCCATATGTCTTAAAATTGCCAAGGTTGAGAAACATTGCTCAAGGATGTGATAAGAATAAAAAGGGAAGTAAGCACTGTTCTGAACAATTTGGAGAAAAGATGAAGATATACCCCAAAACAGTTGGAGAATCAGACAGAAAAAGGATATTAAGCTGTCTCCATCTTGATTCAGTTTCAGGTCGTCCAACTTTGACAGTTCAGAAGGAAGAAGATGCTGAAGGAATTCAAACCACAACAGAATTTTTGCTGAGTACCGTGGGTAAGTCTCTTACCAAAATAGTTGGCAATAGCCAATCTTACTCAGCTAAAAAAAAACCTCCCTTTTTGTGAACCTGTAATCCCTTAATTTGAGGTAGAGTCAGGGCAACTGGATGGAGCTGACATTTAACCCTCAGTTGAAATGTAACCTTAGGATGAGAGAGAAATTCATCTATTTAATACATTTTTCCTTCTCTATGCTTTGTTTTTCTATGACAGGGGTGTTAACGAATGAAAGTCACAATGCAGAAAATCTAACCTTTCTGCAAGAGAATGTATCAACGAATGGTATGTGATATTGTGTACATTGTTAGATGTTTAGTCCACGTAGTTCACTTGTTCCTATTGGCAGTTGTCATCCAATTAAACCAGTCAAAGAGGACAGTTTTGATTGATGTCCAAACCCAGCATGAGATTTAAGTCACAATTTGTGAGCTGACATAAAAACATATTTGAATGTTGGAATTATGGTTAAGGATTCCCTTTCTCTGCTTAACGCTTAGTTGAAGAACCTGTATAGTGGATAGGGAAAATCCACAAAATAACAATTTTTTTCTAAGAGCATTCTTTTCTTGAGCTGTTATAGAAGTGATACCAGCTGAAGTGACAACACCAGCTGAAGTGACAATGGCTCTCGGCACAAGCATTGTGCAATCCAACAACACTCCAGGTGAGGTCACAACTGTGAGTCCAAAGAACACAAAGAATTTTGAAATAAATTCTGAAACGCCTTGAAAATCAGACCAAAAAAATCCCAGAAGTCTCTTTCACAGGGGAACATTACGTTCAAGGATGATGTTCTTGGCACAGTAAAATTTTCCTCTGGCATTATCTTTTCCAGAAGATTCCACACCTCAACTACCATCTGTTGACCAAGAAAAGAGAAGAGGTATTTCTTTAATTTATTTATGAAAGATTTAAAGATTTCTGAACTGTTTGCCATGCTGGGCAAACGTTTCCAAGATGACAGATTCTTATCAACATTAATGAAGATCTGAGTAACATATTAACATCTATTGAACAATAAAATCTACAGTCTTAAGTAAATGCTGAAGTAAATATAAGTATGTTTTTCAGTTCTGACATTTCCCCATCAATATGTTTCCGCCTCTTTCCATAGATGCTGAGATGAAAGAATATCATGATATCTTCATTTATGGTGAGTTTCAAACTGGACCAGGTTGAACAAAGGAGAAACCTTCAAGGGAGATTTCCAAATTCCTGCAAAAAAAAAAATGGCTTGAGGGAGAAAATATTAAAATAAAATGTATATGTTACTATCAATGTTTGAAATGAAGCATTTTACAGAATGCCTACAACTGCCTATAGAACGCCAAAAAGTGGATGTCAAAATATGAAATGCTTAATATTTCACACATTTCCTGGGCATTCTTTACAACGCCAAAAGGCAAACTGGCAAAGTATAAAATGTCCTCACTAAAATGCCACTCTGGCCTTCCTTGTTGCAACAAGTAGGTCAATACTGGTCTTTTTCTGTTGTTTCTTTCAGTAAGGAAGTCCTGTGATTTATTTTGTATTTCTTCTTTTATTTTCATATGTTTTTTTCAATGAAGGTTTAGGATTAGGGTTAATCCTAACCCTAACTCTTTTCATAACTCTTTTTATACGTTGCTTAAATAGTTTTTGTCATTCTGCCTAATGCCTAGGTACTATATACAATGCCTAGGGAAAGTATATAGCATATTAAAAATAACACATTTCATTCTTTGCCTAGAAATGTCACACATTCTATAGATTTCCTAGGCATTCTATGTACTATGCCACCTTTTAACACATTACTGATGCATGTACTGTATGTATGTATACACACACACACATATTGGGATGAGGAACCTGAGGTCCTCCAAATATTGATGACCAACGGAGAGAGATTCTGGCACTCGTTTGACCACACTGGAAGGCTCACAGGTGCTCTGATGCCCATGTACCCGATGGTTATATTTATACCACTTGTTAAAACCTGATATGCTGGAAACTTAGTGGCTACATTCACACAACGCTTTAAACTTGGTCAATGTTTGGTGTTTTTTTTAATTTGAGAGTATTTTGGTGGCTTTACATGTTGTGCAAACCCAGCTTATTTGGTTTGTTCATGATTCAAAATACTAAAGCCAGAAAAAAATGAATGATCTGGGAAGCAAGTTAGACAGGTATGAATGCAGGTATGAATGCAGTGCCTTCCATTAAACATCAATGGATGCTCTTGAAACTGTTCTCTCTTTTCAGTTCCAGATGTCCCAAATCTATTGACTTTTCTCCATTTGTCTTTCAGATTACGAATCCTTGCGCAAGTGGGGTTTGGTAGCTGCTGCCATCCTTTTCATCTTGGGCATTCTCATTCTTACCTGTAAGCCTGAGAGACTGGAATGAATGAATGAAATTTATCTTATTAACTAAAGGTGGAAAGAGAAGGATGAAATAAACGAACAGGACCATACAACCCTAGTTTAGTTTTAACAATTATGGTTAACATTAATCAGTTTATTACACTGGCCTTGTGTTGGCTTTCTCAGCAATATTATCTGCCTAACTGAAAATGCTAGAGAATAACATCACACTATTAATATCGCCATTTCAAATCAGAGGTACTTCAGAAAAATGGCAACGTTTAACACTTAACTTTGCTATCAATTTCTATGGCTGCCTATCCATCCAAAAAAAAATCTGGGTGGTGGATTTGAAATCAAAAGATTTTTAAATGTTATTTAATCTTATTTAATGTGCAGGAAAGGCCTTGGGAAGCACATAGTTAGGACACAGTCTTTTGTACCATGACTTGGCGATCCAATGCCTTGGTTGGGTTTAAAGATGCTATGTAGGCTGCTATTTTTGACCATAGGGCAAACTCTAGGGCAGGGGTAGGGAACCTTGGCTCTTTTATGACTCGTGGACTTCAACTCTAGGGCAAAGTGATGGTGGTGGTGGAGGTTCTATCTAGCTTACCAGATATGCTCAAACATTAGTGTTGGAGGCAGATGACGTGCCATCTCTTCCCATTCTGTTCTGAATTCTAGGAAAGTGCATTCCTCAAATACTTTGTTTCCTTTCTTTTCTCTTCCAGGTGATAAACATGGGAAATTTCCACGATGCCGAGGGAAAAAGCAGGCAAGGTAAGCCTACAACTGGGTTGCCCATTCTATCCCCTTATTTTGGTGCACTTGATTATACGAAAAATGGAATGGAGGAATAGCATCGTGCTTGAGAAATATGTCCGATTCTCATGCATGACTAACTCTGATCCTGATTCCTGATCTTTTACAGAACATATGTTGTGTCTCTGCCTTGAAACCTCTTTGCTGGAAGCCTCAAAAGACTTTTACTGGGAATGCTTTGGCTCCATCAGGGGGCATCCTTTCTTATGGCAAAGAAATGTTTGATGTTCTCCCAAAACCATCTTCCTGCCATCTGAGCTTTCCATTTGTGCTTATTATGATCTTGCAACATAAGTTCATTTCTATTGTCGTCTCCCTAAATTATCTTTCCGTTACATTAAACTAGTTCCTTGGCACAACCACAATTCATTGTTCCTTTCTTTGCCTGCCGGAGATCAGGGCAATATGAATTATGGCTATTGTTCTTGGTTGCTTAGCAAAACTGGTCTGTGCAAATTCTCTGCCAAGAAATCTCAAGTTCTGTTCTCTCAATAAATTTTTGGCGTGGTTTGTTGCTTCTAAATTTCCTGACATTGACTCTGTGCTGTTTTTGGCCTGGTGTGGGTGTCGGTTATATTTACATATCCTTGTTCTGAAAGAAGCTATGACAGCAGAGCTATTATCATGGGATCTGGAAGCTGTCAAATTACATGACAAGGTAGAAAGATTCAGAAAAAGGGAGGAGAAGGTTTTATAAGAGACCAAAAAAAAGTTCTCTGGGTTAACACATCATATTAAACTATAATCTGGTTTATTTGGCTTTGGTTCCTCATAATGGGGGGAATTCAGCTATCGTAGTTTGCAATCCATGTTGAATAACCCCAGCTAATTAAAATGTATTCAATAAACCCATAATTAAGCACATCACTTACTGCAGTGGGTGAATTAGAACTGGGATTTATGGCACTGCCATCTCTGCAAAAGGTAGGAGAAAATATATGAGTCGAGATCAGGCTTATGAAAATGCACAGTACTGTATATTGCTTTAGCTATGAAAACCGGTTCTCAAATCAAATCAAATCAACCTTTATTGTCAAAGTACAACATGTGTACAATGAGATTGGCTAAGCCTCCCTTCGTGCACCCCCCCGATACAATTCACAGTGATAACACACAATCTTATTACACCACGTGAACTTATTGCACAACGTGCCGGCCCCGCAAGTCTATCATATATGGAGTTATTTCCCATTCAGGAGTCTGACAGCCCTTGGGCAGAAACTGTTCTTCAGCCTGTTGATGCGGCTGGCTATGCTTCTATATCTCCTGCCCGGTGGCAGGAGAGTAAAGAAGTGCTGACGAGAGTGTGAGTCGTCCCTGAGAATTTTCCTCACTCTTCTAAGGCAGGGCTTTTCAACCAGTAGTACGGGTACCACCTGTGGTACATTGGCACCTGGCAGGTGGTATGCAACCATCCTAGAAAAGTGGTAGCAGGGGAGGGGAATGAGCTGAACCAGTGGCAGCACCGCACAAGCCTGAGCAAGAGATGGCTAGGGCTGTCAGGGCTCAGCGGAAGCGCCAGGATCAGTGCCGCTTTAAAGCTGATTGGCGCTTCGGGGCTGTCAGGGCTCAGCGGAAGCGCCAGGATCAGCGCCAGGCTCCAGCTGGAGCTCGGTGCTGATCCTGGTGCTTCTGCTGAGCCCAGAAGAAGCACCGGTCAGCTGGAATGTTGCAGTATCTCCAGGGTCTTGTGATTTACATTCAGATGCTTGGCAACTGATTCGTATTTATGACGGTCACAGTGTCCCAGGGTCATGTGAAGTGACCAAAACCTGCTGCAACCACCCAGCAGATGGGGGAGGGGAATAAAAACCAAACACCCCCCCACCCCACCCCTGCTGCCAATCCTCAACAGAAATGCTCACAACCATGAAAACCTCAGACAGAAGGAAGAGCGCCGCCGGGCGGGCAGGCAGGTGTCTTGCTTGGCTGTGGCTTGGGGGGCACTTTTTTCAGTGCCATTGTAACTTTGAACAGTCACTAAGCGAACTGTTGCAAGTCAAGGACTACCTGTACTATATCACTTTTTTCCTTTTTTTTTTTTTTTTGGTCATCAAGTTTTTGACATCTTGCTAGGCGACTGGTGGTACTTGGATGCTGCCATATCCTAAAAGTGGTACAATGGGTGAAAAGGTTGAAAAGCCCTGTTCTAAGGCAGCGGGCCCTAGCGATGTCGCCTAGTGGTGTCAGGGGACAGCCCACGATGTTTTGTGCTGTGCTCACCACCCTCTGTAATGTCTTTATATCCGTGGCTGTCAAGCCAGCATACCACACTTCTAAAATAAGAAGTGATACTTTAGCCAATGATTTTGGAGGAGATGTACCGAAAGCAAAATAAATCAGTCTCCCTCCTACTGCGTACTGTAGATCTTGTGGAATTCTTACCTCGATTGTTATTTAAGGTAGTTAGTTAATGGTTAACATTGGAAAGTTGAATATTTTTTTTTAAACACCCTCCAAAACTCAATCCTAGGAAGCTGATGTTCTGTAAAGCAACGTATCAGCCTACACAATGGTCCTACTGTACAGGCCAGTGTTTTTCAACCTTGGCAACTTTAAGACATGTAGACTTCAACTCCCAGAATTCCCTCACCAGCCATGTTGAAGTCCACACATCTTAAAATGGCTAAGCTTGAAAAACATTAATGTAGGTCCTACATCTATCCTTAAAAAAATAAAAAGCTGAATAGCCGAAGCCCAACATTTTTCTTGAAATGTTGCGCTCAAACTGTCGAGGTTAACGGAAGGTGATCCTGGGGAAGCATTTTAGGGGAGTTAACCAAAGCAACAGGGAATGAAAATTCTAGAAGATTTTATATCTAATACATATGCTATATGATTGTGCCTGTATTTCCTTGAATGTTTTTAAAATATTTGTGCAAGGCTTGCATGCAAATATCCATCCTTCCATCTCAGACACAGAATAAAACCGGCCCGAGCCTTCCTCGCATATGTCTGAGGAAATGTGCAGGAAAGTATAAACAGAACTTAATATGACTTTTCAAAATGAATCCCTGTTAAAAGTATGTGAAACAGAAAAACGCTAAACCTCGGGAAATAGCTACGAGAAAAGAAGACCTTGGAAGATTTCGACCAGAAGGTGGCAGCAGAAAGATTCTTGTAGCTTTTTGACTTTCTACATTAAAAAGATGTGCAACCAGGCTGCATTTAGAATTAGAGCTTTTTAAGTTACAAAATTCCATCTTTTCCTGACTCGGTCTTTTTTTTTTTTTAAACAGGTTGGCCTCTACAAAGAAAACATGCCAAATAGAGGCATACTGTGATTTTACATAATTATGTGTTTCTCCCATTTCTTTCCCCTCATCCATCAAGAAATTCCCGAGGGAAGGAATCTCTCGTGGCTATTTTATACAATGATTGAACAAGCCTGTTGGATCCTGAGTTCTTTATTAATAGACATCATTTTGCAACCACTGTTAAGGAAACAGTAAATAATTCTACATTCCAGTTTTATTATTGTAGGATAACCGGGGTAGATTGAACAATTGGCACAACTGGGCTTGACCCAAGATAATACCACTTTACAATGCCTTGGTAAGGCCACACTTGGAATACTGCATCCAGTTTTGGTCACCGCGATGTAAAAAAGATGTTGAGACTAGAAAGAGTACAGAGAAGAGCAACAAAGATGATTAGGGGACTGGAGGCTAAAGCATATAAGGAACGGCTGCTGGAATTGGGTATGTCTAGTTTAATGAAGAGAAGGACGAGGGGGGACATGATAGCAGTGTTCCAATATCTCAAGGGCTGCCACAAAGAAGAGGGAGTCAAGCTATTTTCCAAGGCGCCTGAAAGCAGGACAAGAAGCAACGGGTGGAAACTAAGCAAGGAGAGAAGCAACCTAGAACTAAGGAGAAACTTCCTGACAAATGAGAACAATTAACCAGTGGAACAACCTGCCTCCATAAGCGGTGAATGCTCCAACACTGGAAGTTTTAAAGAAGAGACTGGACAGCCATTTGTCCGAAATGGTATAGGGTTTCCTGCCTGAGCAGGGGGTTGGACTAGATGACCTTGAAGGTTCCTTCCAACTTTACTATTATTATTATTATTATTATTATTATTATTATTATTATTATTATTATTATTATTATTATTATTATTATAAGGTAAGAAGGTAAAATAACCTTTATTGTCATTTTTTTACTATGCTTACACTGGCACACATTAAAAATGAAATTCTGTTACTTGCTCTCAGAAGTGTACACATACATAACACCCACACAAACATGCTATATACAACATATGTACAGTAACTGTAAGAGGGACCTTGGAGTCCTAGTGGACAATCACTTGACCATGAGCCAGCAGTGTGCAGCAGCAACCAAAAAAGCTAACAAAATCTTGGGTTGTATAAACAGAGGCATAGAATCAAGATCACACGAAGTACTAGTACTGCTTTACAAAGCCCTAGGAAGACCACACCTGGAATACTGCAGCCAATTTTGGTCACCAAAGTTTGGAAAAAAAATTCAGAGAAGAGCAACTAAGATGATCAAAGGCCTGGAGACTAAAAACATGTGAAGACCGGTTGCGGGACTTGGGTTGGGCCAGTCTAAAGAAAAGAAATAGGGGAGACAGAATAGCAGTGTTCCAGTATCCGAGGGGCTGCCACAAGGCAGAGGGGGCAGATTGTTCACCAGAGCACCAGAGGAAAGGATGAGGAACAATGGCTGGAAACTGATCAAGGAGAGAAGCAACCTGGAATTAAGGAGAAACTTCCTGACAGTGAGGACAATCAACCAGTGAAACAGCTTACCCCCAGAAATCGTGGGCGCTCCATCACTGGAGACTTTTAAGAAGAAACTAGACAACCACCTGTCTGAGATGGTCTCCTGCTTGAGCAGGGGGCTGGACTAGAGGACCTCCAAGGTCCCTTCCAGCTCTATTCTATTCTGTACCTACACCCTTACAATATAAACACATATACATATTAATCACTGCCCATCTTGCACAGACAAAGATCAGATCGACCTATCACAGGCAAACAATCCACAGTTCTTCCAAGAATATTCTTCCAGTCTCCTTGATCCCACCCATCCACCTTATCCATTTCTCTTCCCGTTTCCATCACTCTTGCAAAGTTTTTCTAGTTCGTTATCCGCTTGCATTACAACACAAAGTGAGGCAATCGTCAGGAAGCAGAAACGCTTCCGAGAGAGCCCTACGGGCTCTATGTTGTAAAAACAAGACTGCCTGGGTGAATCACCACCACCTCCTCCTCCTCCCCGGCGGGCCTCGAGTAACGCTGGGCAGCGGCTGAGCAGGCCGAGAGGACGGAGCGCCGCCGAGGCGGCAGCCGGTGGGCAGGGCAGGGGGCTGCTCCGCGGGGACGGGCCGCGCAAAGAGGCGCTGCTTCTGGATCCGCTTCTGCGCTTCCTTCCGCCAGAGCGGAGCCCGCTTCTCTAACGCGCGTTGTGAAGAATCCTGGTTTCGCACGACCCGCGCGAGCAGCTGAGCGGGTCGTGCGAAACCAGGATTCTTCCACGCGCACCCGGGGCGGTAGATTGGGGGCCTTCGGGGTGGCTGTTGAGGTTTATACCCTGTTTGGTTTGAACCCAGAAGCTTCCTTCGCGCGACGCCCTCAATCCTGTACATTTTAAGATGGATTAGAGTTTTTGTTGTTGTTGTTTTTTTGTTTAGCTTTCTGCCGGGGAGGCGGGCTTGGCACCTGTGTGTTTCCAGCCCTGTTGGCGGCGTGGTTCAGCGTAGAGTGCACCAAAAACATGTGCGTTATAGTAAATTTCGCTCAGTGGTTGCTTAAGTGTGTGTTGCGTCAATGCAACACAAGTCCCGTAAATCTATGGCAGAGGGTGGATTTGGGGATGTTCAGCCTCTTTGAAATGCTGATGTCCGTCAGGGGTGAAGAAACTCTTGGGAAGTTGCTTCCCTAGCAGCTTAGGAAGCCCCTTGGATGGTGATATGGACCTGCAAACCGCATCCCTTGTAGCAGTGATGGCGAACCTTTTAGAGACCGAGTGCCCAAACTGCAACCCAAAACCCACTTATGCATCGTTGAGTGCTGAGTGGGTGTGGCCAATTGGGTGGGCATGGCTGCAGTGGTAACGGCAGATTAGGTGGGATTAAAAACTTCAATCAATCAATTACAACTTTGCAAGATTTTTTTTTCCCCGGCCTAGGACTGGGGCGACGGCGCGCGTGCCCACAGAGAGGGCTCTGAGTGCTGCCTCTGGCACCCGTGCCATAGGTTCGCCACCACTGCCTTGTAGGCTTCTTGATGCAGACATTAAATATTGAGCAATGGCAAATTAGAGGAAGGGGACGGTGTCTCTTATATGTTCCCTTTTTTTCCGTTCCTTTTCATGGTCTCCATCATTGCTGACTTGGCCGGCCTAAAGGACCCCTTTTTTGGAAAGCCCAGCATGGATTCTCCCGGGGTTATGGGTGCAGGCTTCCTGTCTTCCTCCACTGAGCCTGATCATCTGGTCCCAGTGAAGAAGTTTTATCAGGGTGAACCTGTGGCCCTGGGGGTGAGTGCGGAGATGAGTGGAATGATGGTGCCTCTCCTTTGGAATGACTCTTGGAATATAGTGCAGGATAATCTAGCTGTCCCCATCCTTGCAGGGCAATTAAATCAGGGCAATAGACATTCCTGTTTAGTTTGGTCACTGAATTTCTTGCCATTTTGCAAGATTGGGTCTTCCGAGGTGAATAAATGATTTCTAATGGCTGCAGTGGGGGATGCTGGGAATTGTATTTCTGGAGTGCCACCCAGGCTCATTCCTTCCAAGAGCAAGAAAACAATTGGGCAAAAGAGTGGAGAGACACAAAATGAGCTGATTCGTCTGACACAGGTCTCCATCCACTAGACTAGAGATAATACTTGCACTCTCTGACTTGCTGAAATAACAACAACAACAACAACAACAACAACAACAACAACAATAACAATAATAATAATAATAATAATAATAATAATAATAATAATAATAATAATAATAAAAAGTTGGAAGGGACACTGGAGGTCATCTAGTCCAACCCCCTGCTTAGGCAGGAAACTTTATACCATTTCAGACAAATGGCTGTCCAGTTTCTTCTTAAAAACTTCCAGTGTTGGAGCATTCACAGCTTTGGAGGCAGGTTGTTCCACTGATTAATTGTCAGGAAGTTTCTCCTTAGTTCTAGGTTGCTTCTCTCCTTGATTAGTTTCTATCCGTTGCTTCTTGTCCTGCCTTCAGGTGCTTTGGGGAATAGCTTGACTCCCTCTTCTTTGGGGCAGCCCCTGAGATATTGGAACATTGCTATCATGTCCCCCCTCATCCTTCTCTTCGTTAAACTAGACATACCCAATTCCAGCAACCGTTCCTTATATGCTTTAGCCTCCAGTCCCCTAATCATCTTTGTTGCTCTTCTCTGTACTCTTTCTAGAGTCTCAACATCTTTTTTACATCATGGTGACCAAAACTGGATGCAGTATTCCAAGTGTGGCCTTACCAAGGCATTGTAAAGTGGTATTAACACTTCACGTGATCTCACAGACAGGCTTTCTCTAGAGCTGGATTTGTCCTTTTCCTTCAGGAAGGACAGATGCTCCCTTAAAATTCATTATATGCTGACCACAATTGAATCATCTGAGCATGACTGAATTTGAAATAGAATTGGGTACAATTGTGAACATGTAATTGCTAAAATGTAAAAATATCTATTGAAATTTGAAACAAAAGAATGAGTGACAGAATATTATAAAGTGTATTGAATTTGAAAATGTCTGTGCCTGATGAGTCCGCATAGATCAGCGATGGCAAACCTTTTAGAGACCAAGTGCCCAAACTGCAACCCAAAACCCACTTATTTATTGCCGGGTGCCAGGTGGGCATGGCCCACTGGATGGGCGTGGCTGTGGTGGTCATGGTAGATTGGGTGGGTGTGGCCAAGGTGGGCGTGATCACCTCAATGTTGCTCGTGGGGAGGGACGTCTGTGGGGGCTGGGCAGGGTTGGGGGAGATCCAGGGGGTCTCTGGCAGGTGGGGCGGTAGGCAGGAGGCTCGTCCTGTGGAGTGAGGCGAGGCAAGGCGAGGCAGGGTGGGGGTGCCATTGTCACAGGGCAAGGCGAGGCAGGGGCCAGGCGGCTGCTGCCTGACACCATTGGCCCCTGCACACAGAGCCAGCAAGAGCATAGGTGCTGGGATGCATCCAGCCATGTGGGACCTCGGCGAGTTAGCGGGTGGCTGGTTGAAGAGGGACGGTTGCCATCTCCAGGGCATGGTGCGCGTGCCCACAGAGAGGGCTCTGAGTGCCGCCTCTGGCACACGTGCCATAGGTTCGTCACCACTGGCATAGATAGAGGAAACTGATTGCATAGCGCCTCCTACTAGCCAGTAGCTAAGATGACATGAAAGAAATAAGTTGTGCAGAGAACAGAACAAATATTGTTCTGTTGGTGAACAATAGTCATCCAAACCAGTGGTCAACACCGACAGAGGCTGGGAGTTGCAGTTCAGTGACATCTGGAGGATTGTTAGTTCTCCACATTGTGGGAAAGGTATCTGCAGGTGAATGGCATTTATAGTTAGATATCCCACTTTAAAATGTATTATTTCAATAAAGTTTAAAGTTTTGGGAGGCAATGGGATACAATGTAATCCCACTTTGGCATGCCCCTCTGCCCTCCTGCTCTGTTGGTTTGGTTGTGGCGTATGAGTTGAAAGTGATGGCTGAAACTGAAATTATTACTTTTCTCTGTTTACAGATCTCACAGATAATCTTAGGAATCACTGGAATAGCTTTTGCGAGTCTGGTCAACGCAATTGATGATTCGGTCTTCCTTACAAAGATACCCTATTGGGGTGGAATCTTGGTAATTTTACATGATGGTGTGTTTAAACAATTCAACAAGAAAACTCAGCATCCAGATGTTAAACTGCACATCACAGCAGCCTCTGAAATAAAAAGTCTGTAAGAAGATTTGGAGAAACCCAAAGCAGCTAAACTACAGCTCCAAGCGTTCTTCAGCAGTGGGCCAGGAGGCTGCTGTGATGTGCAGTTTAACATCTGGATGCTGAGTTTTCTTGTTGAATTGTTTAATTCTTGTTGAATTGTTTAATTCCATTTTAGTTTTATGCCTGGTCTCCAAATTTCAGAAAAACCTCTGAAGAGATTACAAAAATTAATAGAAGTAATCTCCTTGGCTCTTATTGTATAGATCAGGGGTAGGCATCCTTGGCTCTTTTATGACTCGTGGACTTCAACTCCCAGAATTCCTGAGCCAGCATGGCTCAGCATGGAAACCTCTCCCTTTCCCCTCAGCATGGCTGGCTCAGGAATTCTGGGAGTTGAAGTCCATAAAAGTCATAAAAGAGCCAAGGTTGCCTACCCCTGGTATAAATAGTTCTTACTAACCAACCAACCGCCACATTCAATGACTGTTTGAAGTTATAGTGTTGCTGAACAAAGGGGACTGATGACCAGTCCTGATGACCAGTGGCCCCATTGTCATGTGATCATGATTCAATCACTCAGCAACTGGAATGCAGTATCCCGTGACACATGATTGCCTTTTGTGATTTTAACAGTCTGCTTCTGAGAAGCAAAATCAATGGGAAAGCCAGCAGGAGGTTGCACGTTATGGGAACCATGAGGCTGAGAATTGTTGTTTGCAGCATCTGGAGAGCTTTTTTTTTTATTATTATAGAGACATAGTGTAAGGACCTGCTTCAAAACCTCATCCCAAAAAAGCAGGACTTTTGGAACACTTTCACTTCAAAAGGAACTTTTATTAGGAGAAGTTGATAGCAGGCAAAGAAGGCAGGATCTGAGGGTTTCCTGCTCAGATCAATAGGTTAAAGGAGCATCAAGCAAACCTCACCCCAATAGTTCATCCGGTCAGCTCAAACGAGCCAATCCCCAGGTGTTAAGTCCATTGTGGGAACGGAGCTGATAACAGAGTTCCCATGCCTGTGAAGACAAGACGTTGTTGGGTCTTCGCACCTTTCCCTTCCGCAGCGAGAGGTAAGCCAGATGGCCAGAGAATGACAGAACCCACAGAAAGAAACCGAAAAGGAACAGAACCATCCCCCCTAACAAAGAAATGGGTTCTGACACACAGCTGAAGACTACTGCTATGATGTGTTGTACAAAAGTTCTATGAAGGTGGCTCCTGGCAACTGTATCTTCCACTGGATTGAGGTTCAGCACAAAAAATGTCAGTACTTAAGGAGCAAATTAAGGTGGGAGAGAGATGATAGGCCTATGATGGAAGAGAGAAGTCTGTAACTTTTGTTCGCTGGGGATGGAGCCAAGAAGGTTGATTTGCTTTCTCTTTTCTTTCAGTACGTTATTTCTGGATCCTTAGCTGTGGCAGCTGCTCGGAATCCAAAGATCCCTCTGGTAATTAAGCCATTGGAGAGAAGCGAAGGCCATGGCTTTAAAAGCCTTTTATCTGAAGAGCTACAAGCCACTGGGTTACCAGTCATGAGCTTGGGGGACTTCTGATGTTCCTGGATCACTAACATCAAATGGAGGATCGTGATGCTTGTGGCTTCTTGTTTAAGAGCTTGTCCCCTGAATGCCCTTTTGGGAAGCTGCAGGTCTTTTGCAAATCTCTTTTTCCCACTTTTTGGCAAAGACGTTCCTTGTCTCCATCTCTGATTGAATATTCTAGTTCAGGGGTGTTAAACTCAATTTCATTGAGGGTCGCATCAGCATTGCGGTTGGCCTCGGGGGGGCGGGGGTGTGTAACCAGGGTGGGTGCGGCCTACTGGGTGGGTGAGGATGGAGTGGGTGTGGCCTACTGGGTGGGCGTGGCCAGCTCTACATCATTCACGTCAAGGGTGCCTGTGGGGGCCTGGGCAGGAGTGGGACAGATCTGAGGGTCTCTGGCAGAAAGGGGTGGGACCAGGGCAGAGCCCATCAAGCCGGATATGTGAAGTAGGCGAGGGCCATTTCCTGGCCACTTCCAGGCGATGGTGCATTTCTTCATTCCTCACAAAGGGTGACACCTCCCCAGCATGCACCCAGGGGGCGGGGCCGACGCGGCAGGGGCTGGTTCCTTGCTGTTTCCAGACAGCCTTGCGGAGCTAAGACTGAATGCATTTCAGCAAAAATGGCCACCACAAAATTGTACTTGGCTCCCGGCTGGCCTGGGCCAGGGCCAAGGCAGCGGGGGCCGTTCCCTCACTGTTTCCAGGATGGCTTCGTGGGCCACATGAAACCACTTTGCGGGCCACATCCAGCCCCCGGGCCTTGTGTTTGACATGTTTGTTCTAGTTAGTGGAAGCAGTTGCTTCCATGGAAGCAAATATCTTGAAGCTGTCTCTCTTCCTCCACGGTGATCAGGTGGAGGATCTGGCATGCAAATGTGTGTCCAAACAGCACCACTGGAGAGGAGTACGAAGGAGCTGAGCCATTCTTACAAGCAGGGCTTTTTTTCTCGGAGAAAAGGTGGCGGAACTCAAACCTGGCCACGCCCTCATCAAACCCTAGGACCGCCCCTTTAGAGAACAGGAATGCAAGTAAAATTTGGGAGGGGCTATTTCCGGTGTGGGAGGGGCTATTTCCGGTGCGGCCGGCCCGGAAAAAGGTGCCGGAACGCAGTTCCGCCGCGTTCCGGCTGAANCTTACAAGAGTGTAGAGGGTACCAGCCTCACTTTTTCTGGCTAAAGCAAATCCAAAACTGAAATCCACCTGAACTCTTCTGTTCGGAGAAATCTGGGTTGCATTATAGTCACTGTGTCTGTGCTTGTATGTGTTTGTGCTTGTGTGTATTTGTGTTTATTAATTTATTTTGTCCCTCCTAGGTGAAAGGCATGCTGGCAATGAATGTGATAAGTGCCATTACAGCTGGTGTTGGCATCGTACTCCTGTCTTTCATACTCGGCTCCATCCATCCATTTAATTTCGCCTGGAGCTGCAACTATAATAGTTATGACACTAAGGAAAATTGTGCTGAAATCGAGGTGTGCTTTTTTATATGTTTGTGACCTTCCAAGATCCATCAGTGAGAACCAGGTTTCAACAGGACAGAGAAGAAGAAGGGAGCTCATGGTGTTCTCTGGGTGGGGATGTAACACTTTGGGGTTTGTGGTGTCAAAAATCTATCCCAAAGAGATTTAGCCATAGAAAGGAGTGGCAGGAATGTTGCCTTTTAAAGTTTGTTTCTTCTGTTTGTTTTTCCCTCCCAGTCCTTTCAAAGCAGCTGCAATTAGCACATCCACAGGGCATAGCCAAGAATTCAAGTTGAAGCAGTAAGAGAACAGTCAAAGTTTTGCCAGAATTTTATATGTGACATAGAAAAAAAAACCCAAACCTGGCTGGAGCTTTGATTCCATTGTTGAGGCTTACATTTGATCGTTTTTGACCAAATCTTTTTTTTTGTTTTGTTTACAAAACCGGGTTGCAGTTTTTGCTTGTAGATTGTGACCAAATTTGATAGGTTCACCATGTCCTACCTGGACTATATACCCAGAAGGTATTTGTGAGTCCCTCAAGCTAGACTCGACTAGGAAATCAATTCTTCAGGAAGTCTCCAACTATTTTTATAGACATTGGCTGTAAACAACCGAACTTGTTGTTACAAGTCTGATTGGGCTGTCCCTCTTCCCCCTTCGTATACTGCAGTCAATTAGGGAGGTGTCTGCCTGAGCCACTTTTAAACAGTATTTCATTACTTTCAATTTAAAAAAATGCTTCATCCCTCTTTTTGCCCAGACAAGACAGAGCCCTGCATACCTCATCCAGGTCATCTTCCTCACTCTACAATTGGAGATACTGTATATGTGCCTATCTGTATGCATAAAAATGGCTATGTTACTTTTCTGTTTCATTGGTAGAATATCGGTAAAGGAATATTGGTTATTCTTACTGTGTTCACCATCCTGGAGTTTTGCATCGCCATCTCAGTAGCATCTTTTGGCTGTAACATGCTTTGCCGAGATCCCTTCGCTGAAACGGTAAGATTCCAAAGGAAGATGGGTAGTTAAAAGGATTCAGAAACATGGGCTTTCTGATGCTTTGTTGAATAATATAGAATAGTAGCATATGAGCAGTTAATAGCAGAATATAATAATAATAGTAAGATAGTAGCCAATCAACATATGATGCTAGATTACATGTTGTATTAAGTGTGCTCAAAGTAATCATTGGTCTTCACACAACGTTCATTCATTCATTCATTCATTCATTCATTCATTCATTCATTCATTCATTCCCACCTTTTATTACTTTACAAATAACTCAAGGTGGCAAACATATCAAATACACCTTTCTCCTCCTATCTTCCCCACAACAACCTGTGAGGTGGGTTGGGCTAGTAAGACTAGCCCGAAGTCACTCAGCTGGCTTTCATGGCTAAGATGAGACTTGAACTTACGGTGTCCCATTTTTCTAGCCTAGTGCTTAACCACTAGACTAGACCAAACTGGCACCATGCTATGTTGCAAATCGTGGATTATGAATACTAGTGGATAGATTCTCATATTGCAATAGACCTAAAGAAAGCAAACCAACTTAGAAAACTCAGTGAGCTCAGCCTTTATCTCTAGTTAGCAGGGGAGGATATAAGGTTTCCCCTGCCCAATGAAGTGCCACCTAATCTACACATGATTCAGACAGCACTTCAAAGTGAAATTCAAAAATTGCTTTGCAGTCTGTAGGAACTTGAACCCAGCAGCCGTGTTGAGGTCTTTAAAGCAGCTGGATCTTTTTCAGGGACTTGGGAGGCAGCTCCAGACATGCAAAATGGAAAAGGGTGCAGCTGCTTTAAAGAGGGGCAGTGCTATCTTTATTCTCCAGTGAGAATCCAGATTCCACCTTCGGAATGGAATCGAAGTGCTTTATTTGAAACAAGGACAAACAGAAGCAGTCAGTAGGCTGTTGGAAAGCTGAGGACCTCTATTCTGAGCTGTGGAATCAGAAATATATGGATACAAATTTAATTTTATTTGTTTTATTTATTAAATTGATATGCCATTCTTTCACTATCCAAAATGCATGCCTTACAATGCAATAAAAATAAAAGTACAAAAACAAATGGTCTTAAAACCTCCATCTCCCATTTCTTTAGGTTGTGGTCATTTATCAGAATGTGACACCTGCTAATGCCGAACAACACCCACCCTTTGACTGCAAACAGCCAGTAATTCACCCTTGAATTGCTTTTCTTTCATAGCAAGTGTTCCAGAGTGCTTTCGCCTCCTGCAGATGGGAGCCTTCAACATTTTAAAGGAATTACACAGAACTTTTTAATCAGTGGAACATAAAGGACTTAATGGACTAAGCAAAGGACCATCTGTAAAAGATCTTGAGGATGTGAATGCTCTTTGTTACTGGCTAAAGTATCACTTGTGAACTGGCTGGCATTTTATACCAAATTATGGTTGCTGTTGGAAAATATGCGGTTGGCTGGGTTTATACAACATGTTTATACAACAAGAGCTGTGGTGACACAGGGGTTAGAATGCAGCATTGCAGGATAATTCTGCCGACTGCCAGCAGTTCAATTCTCATCAGCTCAAAGTTGACTCAGCCTTCCATCCTTCTGAGGTGGGTAAAATGAGGGCCCAGATTGTTGGGGGCAATATGCTGACTCTGTAAACCGCTTAGAGAGGGCTGTCAAGCACTGTGAAGCGGTATGTAAGTCTAAGTGCTCTTGCTATGTTACATATAAACTATAATTTCTAGATCATAATGGCTTTGTCCCAGAGCAGGCTAAATCAAACGCCATCACAACAGGGCTCAGCAAAAAGTGTGAGTGCTCACAAAGGAAACTTATCGGGTCAATTACAAACTCGGGTGTATCCACACAGCAACTATGCCTGGTTAATTTTAACCTGGGCTAGTTTGTCTTTAGTGTCTTTAGTTCATGGTTCAATGCATTTTACTTAGGTTAGGTACATTTTTGAACTGAGTAGGATCCAGAACCAAGCAGGCTTTTTGAAAAGCATGCAGAAATCACCTTCTTTAAAAAGTAAATAGTATTTCCTAGTGTGGCCTGTAGTTGTGAAAAGAAATTAAGCCCGTTGTGTGAAATCATCCAATGTAACACATTTCAGAAGTTGATTTGTGGAATATAACAGTCTCCATGGGAACTGTTCAAACAGAAAACCGGGCAACCAAATATAGGTATTCCTCGACTTACGACTACAATTGAGCTCAAAATTTCTGTTGCTAAGTGAGACATTTGTTAGGGGAGCTTTGCCCCATTTTACGACTTTTCTTGCCAGAGTTGTTCAGTGCATCACTGCAGTTGATAAGTTAGTAACGTGGTTCTTTAGCGAGTCTGGCTTCTCCATTGATTTTCAGAAGGTCGCAAAAGGGGATCGCTTGACTCCAGGACACTGCAACCGTCATAAATACGAGTCAGTTGCCAAGCATCTGATTTTTGATCACGTGACCGTGGGGATGCTGCAATGTTTGTAATTGTGAAAAACGGTCATAAGTCATTTTTTTCCCCACTGCCCTTGTAATGGTTCCTAAACAAACTATTGTAAGTCAACAGTTTCCCCATGATATTCCTATGATAACTCATGAGCCAATTTTATTGGAAGACAAGCTGGTTTCCTGCCACTCCATTTATCTTACTGTTTATTTTAGCCATGGCCACACCTTTAATAAACCGCTGGATATGTTGCTTGCCGTTTTTATTTTCTCTGAACTCCATGGAAATAAAGAGGGCTCTGGGGGCTCTGGTGCTTTGTGTCTGATTCTCTTTTCAAAAGCATCCTTTCTTTTAAAAAGTCTTGGAATGTCAGAAGTGCTCCAATACAGTCCCGGTGGGTCTGTTCCTGGGTCAATGGAGAGGCAGATGTGTGGCAGGAACAGATGTGTGGCAGAAGCAACGGAGGGAAACTTATCAAGGAGAGAAGCAATCTAGAACTAAGGAGAAACTTCCTGACAGTTAGAACAATTAACCAGTGGAGCAATCTGCCTCCAGAAGCGGTGAATGTTCCAACACTGGAAGTTTTTAAGAAAAGACTGGACAGCCATTTGTCCGAAATGGTATAGGGTTTCCTGCCTGAGCAGGGGGTTGGACTAAATGACTTCCAAGGTACCTTCCAACGTTATAATAATAATTATTATTATTACTGTTGTTTGTTGTTTTGTTGTTTGTTGCTGCTGCTGCTGCTGCTGTTGTTATTGTTGTTGTTGTTGTTGTTGTTATTATTATTATTATTATTATTATTATAACATGAAAAGGCATTTCCCCTAAGGACATCAATGGATTCCCAAGCAGACCCCTTCATGCACAGAGTTAGATGAACTTCAACTACTCAGTGGTATCATTCACTGATTATATTGATTTTCATGTCAATATATCTGCATATGTTCAACCTGAAGATTATCTTGCTTGTCTTCTCCTGGTCCTATGTATTCTACCCAATTCAGCAAGTGGGCAGAGGACATGGGATCACTCCAATGAGAGGCAAATCAGACATATTCAAAGAATTTGCCCCTGTAGCCGATGAAAACCCAGCAAATGCTCACCTGAAGGAGATTGTGGCATTCCAGTGTAAAATTTACTCCACAGAAAGCAAATTTATCATTTATTTTAAAGCTGTCTAAGCTGGAACCATGGAGGATTAATTCAGCTCCAGAGGTAAATTAACTGATTCTGGGGCTTTCTTGACTAGGAGGAGATGTACTTACCAAAAGTTTACTCCTGTTCACTCTTACAAGCTCTCCGCTGACCATCTGGGGTGGGGGGAGGGGGTGGAGATAAGAACATTACAACATTCAAAAACACTTTACTGAAACATCATTCTGGGCTTCAGAAAACAAAAACATAATATACAAAATTGGGGAAAGTAGCCAACTTGCCCAGCCAACTTCTCAGCTGGTTTACATCTATGTCTATGATGGACTCCAGGATTTTTTTTTTTTATTGCTTCTGATGTAAGTTTAAAAAAAGAGTTAAAATGGTATAATTATTTATTCCAACCTTACCAAGACACTCCAATTTGCATCACTGTTGTTCTTAGAAGCATTTATTTTTTTAAAGCAAAACTCTTTTTTTTTAATTCTTCAATTCACACAGTCATTTCCCCCTTCTGCTTTTCTAAAGGGGAAGTGGGAATAACATAAAGGATTTCTGCCTAAATTCTGTTCTTTAAGCAGAAAATCGTTCTTTGTTTTGCAAAGATAGCCAAATAACAGTGCACACAAAAATCACTTTTGTGAGAATTTCTTCTTTAAAACGATTGGGAAACGTTTAGATCAAGAGTTGGGAAAGAGGTCTGGCAAGATGGTTTTTTGTTGAAATCTCTGAAGCCAGAAAGAACTTTATAAAGTTTCCTCTGTTTGGACAACAAAAATCTCAACCATTTATTTTACAAAACGGAAGGAGGGAAGGGAGGGAGGGATAAGCAAATAATATCAAGCAGGGCTGTCCAATGATTTCAATTTAATTCCAAAACTATGTTTTGCAATATGTAAGTGGGAAAACGATGACCCTTATCTCTATTTTTTTTTAAAGCAGCTGAATCTTTTCCCAGACTTGCACCATAATCCTGAGAAAAAACACAGGCACCACGTTAACATTCCCATGTATTCCGAAGCAGCTTTTCTCCATCTTTTCCAAAATACTGTACTGCATGAACATAAACAAGGCTTGCTTAGAATTTAAAAGAAATGCGTCACGTTTTCTTGGTCACTTGGCACTTCTGAAGACCATCCAGGAAGAGCATAATAGGACAGTTTATAAAAGGTGAGACTGTCCTGAACGCCAGTTCAAAGGAGAGAAGCCTCCCAGGGCAATCTTTAAGCTAATTTTTCCTAAACTAGAAGGCAGCAGCAACCGCGTTGTGATTTTGGAAACATTTTCACAGGCTGCAACGTCCCCAGCAAGCTCCCTCGTTCTTTACAGCAAACAAAAGTTTGGAAGTCTTTAAAAACAAATATGCTCCAAGATGCTGTGACGTCTCTGTAGCTGCAAAGATTAGGCTCGTGCAAGTTAGGCTGTTCCCTGAAATGGTCTAAGGAAGTGAAAACTGAGTTTTGGAAGAAGAGGAAGAACAGCAACCCCTTTGAACTCGAGCGTTAGAGAAGAACCCGTTCTGCTCCCTCGCAGCTATCAGTCGCTCGCCAAACTCTAAGAGAGAGGAAAGGAGCCGGAACGCCAGTCTTTCCTTGAAACTCCGGCTGGGTGAGTTACCCTGCTCTTCCCGGGTGGGCGTCGGGCAATGCTGGGAAGATAAGAGGCTGGAGGGCGCCAAGCTGAACGGGAGCGAATAGGTCAACCTCGGCGGGGTCGCTCCCCGTCTTCCTTCATGATAATAATGATAATAATGATTGATGATGATGATGATAATGATATTGATATTGATATTGATGATGATGATGATGATGATGATGATGATGATGATAATAATAATAATAATAATAATAATAATAATAATAATAATAATAATAATAATAATAATAATAATAGCGAATTTGTCGGTGCCAATGGTAATAGGTGCAATCCCAAAACAGCTGGAGCACCACTTGAACACCTTTGGCATTGACAAATTCGCCATTAGTCAATTGCAAAAGGCAGCCTTACCAGGAACTGCTTCCATCCTGCAAGGACATCTGTAATACCATCAATTCAAACATCCACATCTACCTATCCCAAGTCCTTGGTAAGGATTTGATAGGTAGACAAAAATGTCAAATCCAGACTGATCATCTGGCTGACTGTGGAATGATTAATAATCTTAATAGTAATATAATAACAGTAACAACAACAACAACAACAATAATAATAGACCAAACTGGCCTACAAGAAAGACCAAATGAAGAACAGAATGGAGGCATGGGAAGACAAAGCACTACATGGCCAGTACATTAAAAAAAAAAATAGCTGGGAAAGCAGATAATAACGAGACCTGGCAATGGCTAAGAACAGGAAAGTTGAAGAAAGAGACGGAGGGACTAATTCTGGCTGCACAAGACCAAGCCTTAAGGACAAATGCATACAAAGTCAAACTTGAGAATGGGAAATTGAAAGATGGGGATCATGTTTTTCTACATTCTCTCTCTTTTTCCTTCCTTTCTATGGTCCCCAGCATTGCTGACCTTGCTGACCTAAAGGAGCCGCCCTTCTTGCAAAGCCCAGCATGCATGCTCCTCTGGTCCCAGGGTCCTTGCCTTCCCCCACTCAGACTGATCTTCCAGTCCCATTGAAGAAATTTTATCAGGGTGAACCTCTGGCCCTGGGGGTGAGTATGGAGAGAAATGGAATGACGATTCCTCCTCGGGTTTGGCAAATCCCCTGCTCCCCTGTTCTGTTGCAATAGGACTTGGAGGATTCTTTGCTATGTACTGTACATATGAACGTTCTTGATCCATTTGTTTTATTGGCCAGGTAATGTAGCAGCTAAGAAGTATATAACCCCCTCCCCCTTAAGGGAAGGTGGTCTTGAGGGCTGTAGCATGAGGCCTAGAAAAATAAAATTAAAACAACAAAAAAATCCTGGTTCAGGGATATTTGGAATTTTGTTGGTTCCCAACTTCTGACTATCACTGATCTTGTGATTTCTCTCTCTCTCTCTTTCCAGATCACACAGATATTCATAGGAATCATAGGAATGATTTTTGGGATCCTGCTTGATATAATGAATGATTATTTCATCATCTATAGTGTTATAAAGATCGCTTATTGGAGTGGCATCTTGGTAATTTTACATAATGGTGTGTTTAAAAAGGTCAACAGCCCAACCAGGGATCCAGATGCACATCACAGCAGCCTCAGGGCAAACCAGTCTTAGCTGAAGGATGCTATAGTTCAGCAGATTGGCTAGTTCCAGTTTGTGGCTTATTTCAGAAAACCACTGAACTGAGAGATTACAAACCTTAATAGAAGTAACTACATTGACTCTCTTTCCTCACTTACCAACCAGCTCATTCAGCAATCACAATGTGCAGGGGGGGGACCTGTTTTCAAACATCTGGCCATCATAGTGTCTCCAAGGTCCCCATGTTTGCGATTTGGTTGCTTGGCAACTGGTGTGCATTTACAGTGGCTGTAGCATCCCGTGGTCATCAGATCACCAGCCTTCACCATTGGCTTCTGACAAGTTAAGTCAATGGGGAAGCTACGATCGCAGGAGGTTGCAAGTCACACCCATGTGAATTTGTGCTTAATGACTTATTTGATTTGCTCCATTACTGCATCTGGAACTGTCCGTATAAGTCAACACAGTCATGTCACATAACACTTAATAACTACACCAAGTTGCCCAATTCAATTTTGGTGGGTGAGGACTGCCCAGATAATCACTCTGAATATCTGTTGCCATTCAGGGCTACACTTCCTAGTGGTTTCATTCAACTTGACTCCCGAGTCTGAGAGTTGTTCACAGCCTCTGGAGAGCTGTGTCCTTGCCATAACAACATGGGGAAAATGCTGAATACTGCTGCAGTGCTACATACAGTAAAATGCCTGTGAATTTAGCTCCTTTCTTTAATGCCTCAAATCAGCTGCATCTTCAACTGGAATAGGGAATGTTGACTGAGTTTCAGCACAACAGATAATCAGAGAACAGTAGGCAGGAATTTAAGGTGGGAGAGATTATGGGTCTATATTGTTATCTGGGCATATAGCCATTGTGGTTCGCTTGCTTTTCTTTCTCTTCCAGTACATCATCTCTGGATCCTTAGCTGTGGCAGCTGCTCGGAATCCCAAGATCCCTCTGGTAATTAACCCATTTGACCCAAGTGAATGACATAGCTAAATCGGAAACCCTCCATCTCTGGGATCTTGGCCATGATCTCCCCCTTCTTCAAGAAAAGTTGGAAAAAAACTCTCATCTGAAGCCCTGGAGAGCTACAAGCCCTGGGTTGCCAATCAGGAGCTTGGTGGATTTATGATGTTCCTGGATCATTAACATCTATTGGTGCATCATGATGATTCTGGCTTGTTGTTTAAGACCCTCTCCACTCCAAATTCATGTCCTGGATTCCCTTTTTGGAAACTCCAGGTGTTTTGTGGGTCATTTTATGCTAACATTTGGCAAAGAGGTTCTTTGTCTCAATCTCTGATTGAATATTCTGATTAGATGAGTCAATTGCACTACTTAAGAACAACATGAAAAGAATTTAGCCATATCTGAGGGTGTAGAGCAGCAGTTCTATACCCCGCACCCCTAGAACGCTTCTGATATATTCTCGCACTCTTTACAAAAAATTGTGCATATATACTATAATTTTGAAACTTCTAAACCCAAGTTTTTGCACCCTCTGGAATATCGTCTTCCCCCCCAGGGGTTGCGAGCACCCCCAGTTGGGAACCCCTGGTGTAGAGAGTAAAAGTCTCAAGCAAATTCAGAGCGCAAAGCCAGCTGAATCTCTTCATATGTGTGCGCCCATTTTTGTATGTTAATTTATTTTATTCCTCCTAGGTGCAAGGTGCGCTGGCAATGAATGTGATAAGTGCTGTATCAGCTGGTATTGGCATCATATTCCTGTCTTTCAGTATCACCACCCGTTTTTCATATAATTTCATATATCCTTGCCGTGAATTTCAACACAATTATATGGAAAAGTGTTATGAAACTCTTGTAAGTCTGTGACCTTCCAGAATTCCTCTAAAAAGTTGGCTTCAATAGGACAGGGAAGGCAAAGGGAGCTCATGGTGACCTTTAGCTGGACATGCAAATCTTTGGAGGGACATGGTGGGGTCAAAAATATCTCTCAAACAGAGTTTTAACCATGGAATGGAGGGACAGAAATGTTGTCTTGGGGGTTTCAAGAGTTTGGCCTGCTCTAATTTTCTTTCTCCCAATCTTTTCAGAACAGCTTCAAGAGTGATGTCTTCAAGGCATGGGCAAGAATTAAAATGGCAGCTATATCAGTGCAGCCAAAGTTTTGCCAGAGTTTTAATGGAATTGTTGTGCCTGGCATTTCACTTTTTTTTGATCAAATGTTAACTCTTATTTTCACAAAAATGTAGTTTGCAGTTTTTGTTGTGTGGACTACGACCAAACTAGATGGTTTCAACAGGTCCGACCTTGACTAGGTGCTAGCTATGCTTCTTAGGATGTATTAGTCAGTCTGATGAGGTAGAACCAGTTCCTTTTTTGTGAAAAAAAAAAAAAGGTGTCGGAACTCACACATGTCATACAACCCGCCTTGCCTACCCTACAAGGTTCCATCCAAAAAAGTGCCGGAACTCCATTCTGGGCGTTCTATGAGAAAAAAAACCCTGGGTAGAACTGACCTGTAAACCATCTCTGCAGGAAAGCTACTACTACTGTTATTGAAATTGGCTGTAATAACAGAAACTTGCACTGCTGTTTGGGCTGTCTCTCCTCCCTGAATTACAGTAGTGGCTAAAATTGTGGAAACCTTTTGGGAAAAGTGTATTTTTGAGGTTTGATGGCTAATAACACCACTTTTTTTGGAGTAGTACCATAAAAGTATATATCAATGGAAAGATAATTTAATCAAGAATGTAATGCAACAAAGTTTGTTCAATTATCTGTACTATATTTTATGAAAAGGTATAGCCAAATAACCAGAAAAAGGAAGCATAACGTGCTTAGGTTGATATCAGGTACCTTTCCTTCATCTGATTGTAGCCAATGAGCATGAGTGTTTAGAGAGCCAATCAGGTGTCATCTTGTTTTGTCAATGAGCCAATCAGATCACAGTAGGATTCAGTTATTGATGTCATGTATTGAAGCTGAGAGGAGGACATTTGTCAGTGTGTTATGTGATCGCTATCAAGTTGGTTGGGTTTTTTTGTGTTCTTTCATTTATTGAGCTTATAAAACGTAATAAAACTAAAGTAATGGTCCAAAGAGTTGACTGGTTGCCCAGAAAGCAATATAAAATAGTATTATTAAGTGAATAAGGCTACAGTTATAAAGAAATTATAAGAAAAATTGGTGGAAACTTAACCAAAGGTGGCATTTCTACTGTACACTTTTCCCAAAAGTTTTCCACAATTTTGGCCACTACTGTAGGTGTTGACCTGAGCTACTCTTGAACTATTTAATTGCTCTCGACTTAAAAAAAACACTTCATCTTCCCTTTTGCCCAGGCAAAACAGAGCCTACATATCTAATCCAGGTCATCTTCCTTACTCTAGAACTGGAGATACATATGCCTATCTCTACTTATAAAAAAAGATATGTTTCTCTTCTGCTTCATTGATAGAATATCATTAATGGAATTTTGGCTATTCTTATTATGTTCAACATCCTGGAGTTTTGCATCACCATCTCTGTCGCATCATTTGGCTGTAAAATGCTTTGCCGAAATACCCTCACTGAAACGGTAAGATTCCAAAGGAAGAAGGGTAGTTAATCAAGGGAAGCAGATTCAGAAACAAATGCTGGCCAATAAGCTTAGTTTCTAGGGTAGCTCATACATTGTACTAAGTGTGCTGTAAAAGAAACAAAACAATCATTTGGCTTCACACAATATGCTATGTTGCAAATCCCAGATTATGGTTGATTCTCACATTGTGATAAACCTAAAGGAAACAAAGTACCTTACGTATCTCAGTGAGCTCAACCTTCATCTCTAACTAAGACTTGCTCAGAGTTGCCTTAGACCGGAAGATGGGTAGCAAATGAGTTTGATAATAATAAAATTAACAATAAGTACCACCTCATCTGCACACAGTCCAGGCAACACTTCAGGTAGAATCCCCAAAATGTGTGAGAGCATATAAAGCATTTTTTCCCATGTAAAACCAGAAAAGGATGCAGTTGCTTTAAAGAGAGAAAATGATGTCTTTATCCAGATTCCTCTTGGCAAAGGAATCAAAAGTGCTTCAGAGCCTTATTTGAAACAAGAAGAGACAGAAGCATTCAAGAAGCTGTTGGCAAGCTGAGAATTTCTATTCTGAACTGTGGAATGAGAAATGCACGCAAACAAGTGGCTTAAAATCTCATTATATGTTTCTTTAGGTTGTCGTCATTTATCAGAATGTGACTCCTGCCAGTGTTGAACATCCACCCATCGACTGCAAACAGCCAGAGTTCCCTTGAGTTGCTTTCCCTTCTTGGCAGCTATTCTGGACCACATTGGCTCCTGCAAAATTGAGTTTTTTAAGGATTTGGATGGGACTTTTTACTCAGTGGAACCTAAAATATTTAGTGGGCTAAGCAAAACACCATGTGTAAAAGATCTAGAGAACGTGAATATTCTTGATTGCTGGTTAAGACATGTCTCTGTGAACTGGTTGGCACCTTGTACCAACCTTATTATGTTTTGCTGTTGGAAAATGCACAATTGGTTGAGTTTATACAACACATTATGGATAAGCTATAGTTTCCACTTTACAATGGCTGTGTCACAGATTAAGCAAAGTCCAAAGCTTACTTCAACAGAACTTAGGAAAATATTTTTTTGCACTCAGCTACACTTATACAACAAATTATGCTAGTTGTGTGAAATCATCTAATGCTTGCAACACACTCCAGAATTTGATTTGTGGGATGTAACAGTGACCCTGGGAAGACTTCATATAAAAGGCTCAGCAGCCGTATATTCCAGTGAAAAATAAAGAGTCAAATTTATAGCCATAATTTAAAATTTTAACTTGTTTGTTCTAGTGGTTAAGATACCAGGAGACTGTGAGTTCTAGTCCCGCCTTATAAAGAAAAGCCAGCTGGGCGACTCTGGGCCAGTCCCTCTCTCAGCCCAACTAATTTCATAGGGTTGTTGTGGGGAAAGCAGGAAGAGGAAGGAATATTAGCTATATTTGCTGCCTTAAATCATTTATAAATATAATAAAGACAGGATACAAACTGATACAGAAGACAAAACTTGTTTCCTTGCCTGCCTTCTGCCCATCCAGCTTATCTCACTCTTTTATTTTAGGCAAGACTGCACTCCAGACTAATAATAATAAACTGCTGAGCACACATTGCTTGCTGTTTTTATTTTCTCTAAATTCCACAGAAATTAAGAGGGTCATAGGGGTGTATGTGTGTGCATCTCATTGTTTGGGATACTCTCTCCCAAAACAACTGGAGCATCACTTGAACACTATAGGCATTGACAAATTCACCATTAGCAAACATCCACATCTGCCTATCCCAGGTCCTTGGGAAGGACTCGATAGGTAGACAAAAATGCCAAATCCAGTCTGAACAACTGGCTGATTGTGCGATGAATAAATAATAATAATAATAATAATAATAATAATAATAATAATAATAATAATAATAATAATAATAATAATAATAATAATAATAATAATAATAATAATAATAATTTGGAAGGGACCTTGGAAGTCATCTAGTCCAACCCCATGCTCAGGCAGGAAAACCCTATACCAAGGGTTCCCAACCCCCGGTCTGCGGCATGCCTGAAACCGGGCGGCGCAAACAAGCAAAGCCCCATCCACGAGATGCAAGCAGCACGCGAAAGCACGCCCCCTCCTGTCCATGGAAAAACCTCTCCCCACGTAACCGGTCCCTGGGGCCCAAACGGTTGGGGGCCTCTGCTGTAGAGTGAGACACATTTTTTCAGCTTTCTGACAGACGCTTTTTATTTAGACAAGTTGACCAGAGTTTTTTTTTGTAAGTCTTGGTTTATGGTTTAGCTCAATATGTTAATTCAGACTATGGTGGCTTATTCAACAAACCGTGGGGTAAGCAAATGAGACCTCGATGCGCTGTATGAATCAAACCTTTTGGCTGCAGAGAATCTGTTTTCCGCAGCAGCTTCTTTGCTGAAGCATCCCGAGGAGATTTCTCAGGGTACCAAACTCCAGATGTGCAGGGACCGTTGCTGGTAGCTGGAAATCACCAAGCAACTTCCGAGAGAACCCGCCCATTTCCCCAGCAGGAGCCCTTACCGTCTCAGGCACAGGGCTTGGGGCAAGCCGTGCTAGTTCCCTCCGTGGAAGCCAAAGTGGGCCTGGGAAGAAGAAGAAGAAGAAGAAGAAGACAACGTGGCGCTGGAGGAAACCGAACTCGCGGCAATGAGGGACCCATTGGCCCGCGACTGCAAGGGCAAAAAAGGGCTGGAACGGGGACCGCCTTTCCGACTCACCTCCGCCCTCCTTCGGAAAACGCTGGAGCCCGCGGGGGAGCTGAGGCGGGGGGGGGGACGGAGGGTCGCCGACCCGAGTGGGAGCGAGTGGGCCAGCCTCGGCCCGAAGGGCGGGCGAGGGATTTGGCCCTCTCAACCTCCCCTTCCTCCTTCCAGACCCGCGGGAGGCAGGGAAGGGAAGGGAAGGGAGCTGCTGCGCGGCCGGAGAGCGCGGGGAGGCCGTCTGGGCGGGGGGGGGGCTGTTTGACCACCGCGCGTTGCCTTGTAGAGGAGGGATCTGCAACCGCGACAGCTTTAAGACTTGTGGACTTCAGCTCCCAGAATTCCTCAGCCAGAATTCTATGCCATGCTGGCTGAGGAACTCTGGGAGCTGAAGTCCACGAGTCCACAGCTTTCTGTCGAGGTTGCAGAGAATCCCGTTTCCCGGCTTCGCATCCCCCGTTTCGGCAACCGAGGTGATGGCCCGGCGCGTTAGGCGAGGCGCGGGCGGGGCTTCAGGCTGGCCCTGCAGACTCGACGCCTTTGTCCGAAGGCAGAAGCTGCGCTGAGGCGATGCAGCAGCCTTCGGGGATTTTAAGATCGATGACATTTGAGTTGTTGGTTTTTGTTTTGTTTTGTTTTGTTTGCTTAGCATCTGCGTGTTTCCAACTCCGTTGGGTTTTGGTTCAGCAGCGGGTCCTGTGCCTCGACAGCAGGTGAATTAAGGTACGGCCCTTAAGTGAATCCAACTGGGGTCCCAGGAACGGCAATCCGTCCTAGGGGTGGATTGGGGCGGTTCAGCCTCTTTGAAGTGCTGCGATGTCGAAAGTGGAGAAACTCTTGGCGAATGGCGAAAGGGGACCCAGCAGCCTTAGGACAGGGGTCCCCAACCCCTGGTCCGTGGACCAGCACCAGTCCGCAGCATGCCAGCAAGAGGGTCGCACAAACAAGCAAAGCTCCATCCTCGGGATGCAGGCAGTATTCAAAACCACACCCTCTCTGGTCCAGGAAAAACCTTTCTCCATGGCACCGGTCCCTGGTGCCCAAAAGGTTGGGGATTTCTGTCCTAGGAAGTCTTGAAGCTCTGCTGCAAGCTTTTTTCCCCCTAGGCTTATTGAGGCAGAATAAAACATTGGGGAATGGGAAATTAAAAGGCAGGGAATGTATCTTTTATACGTCCTCTGTCTTTTTCCTTCCTTTCTATGGTCCCCAGCATTGCTAAATTTGCTGGCCTAAAGGAGCCGCCCTTCTTGCAGAGCCCAGCATGGATTTTCCTGTGATCAGGGGCCCAGAGTCCTTGCCTTCCACTGCTCAGACCGCCAATCTTCCCATCCCAGTGAAGAAGTTTTACCAGGGCGAACCTCTGGCCCTGGGGGTGAGTATGGAGATGAGCGGAATGACGGTGCCTCTCTTTTTAGAAATTAGAAATGATTCATATTTATATGTTACTTACATGTAAGGGAGTAGGTCTATACATATGTTGTATATAGTATGTTTTATATGTGTGTTATGTATGTGTACACTTTGAGAGCAAGCAACTAAATTTCATTTTTAATGTGTGCTGTTGTGCCCACAGGAAAAAATGAAAATAAAGGTTATCCATCCATCCTATTCTGTTGCAATAGTATCATGAGGATTCTCTGTTGTGCACATATGAACATTCTTGAAACATTTGTTATTCTGACCAGATAATGTAACATCTACAAACTTTATAACCTGTCTCCGTTAAGGTAATCTTGAGGCCTGTAGCATGAGGTCTAGAAAAATAAAATCAATAGAAACAAATCCCTTCTCTTAGTATTTACAGTATCTTCCTTTTTAAAAAATCTTTATAAATATAAGAAAAAGTGTTGAAAGTAAGAATATCTATGCTTGAAGAAGGAGGAAATTGCTTGTTGTAGTGCATCCTACTGGCTGAGATGACATGAAGAAAGAATAAAGTTGCAAGTCCTTTAGATTAGAAGGGAGGGGATAAAATCTAAATTAACAGTGTATGTCATGTGTTTTGTTTCCCCTGCTGTCCTGTCCTGTTGATCTGATTGTGCAGTGTGAATTGTAACTGAAATTGTTTCTGACCCTGTTTGCAGATCACCCAGATATTCATAGGAATTATTGGAATCATTTTTGGGATCCTGATCAACATCGCTGAGGATCATTTGATATGCTACATCTTTATAGCGATACCCTATTGGAGCGGAATCTTGGTAATTCTACATCATGTTGTATTTAAAAAGTCAACTGAACATCTGGGGATCCAGAGGTTGAACTGCACATAATTGCAGCCACAGGGCAAACTGCCCTTTGCTGAAGGATGCTTTGAGCTGTAATTTAGTAGCTGTTGGTTTCTTAGGCTTTGCTTTAGGAAAGGGATCACTTGGCTAGTTCCATTTTTTGACATGTCTGTTCTCCAAATTTCAGAAAATCACTGAACTCAGAGATTATCAATATTAATAGAACTAACCTCGTTGGCTCTTTTTGTATGCAGTTCTCACTAAAGGGCTTGGTCACAATTTGCTCACTTGGCAGCTGGCCTCTGTTTACATTCACTTCATCAGCCTGTGGCCCCCATTACCAACCTTCACAGCTGGCTTCTGAGAAGCAGAAGTCAATGGGGAAACCAGCAGGAGGTCGCAGGTCACAGTCACCTGAATTTGGGCTTAAGGACTGTGTGCCATTTGCTTAATGACCACATAGAGAACCGATGGTGCAAGTCAGCATGGTCACATGGCAACACATTGAAGGACTGTACCAATTTGTAAGAGAGTTCCATCCCAACTGTGGCGGTTGGAGACTTGCCTGTATAACCATTCTGATACCAGTGGCCATTCCATGGCTATGGTTCCTAGCGGCTTCATTCAACTTGCACCATGAGGCTGAGCATAGTTCGCAGCATCTGAAGAGCTGCGGTCCTTGCCATAGCACCATGGGGAAAATGTTGAACACTCATTCCGAATTGTGTTGCCCAAAAGTTCTATGAATGTAGCTTCTGGCTGCAATGCCTCTTCAACAGGAGTAGGAAAAGTTGGTTGGGGTTCAGTACAAAAGATGATCAGAGAACCGTAGGGAGCAATTTCAGGTGAGAGAGAGATTATGGGTCTATACCAGGGGTGTCAAACTGCTGGCCCATGGGCCGGGTGCGTCACATGGAACCTGCGCCCACCCCATTTCCGGCAATGGCAAAACCGGCCCGATATGTTGCGCAACGTCATGTGACGTCACGAGTTTGACATGCCTGGTCTATACTGTCAATCTGGTTCTCTGGGGATGGAGCCATGCTGGTTGATTGGCTTTTCCTTCTTTTCCAGTACATCATCTCTGGATCTTTAGCTGTGGCAGCGGCTCGGAATCCCAAGATCCTTCTGGTAACTAACATTGAGACAAGTAAAGCCCATGGCTTAATGGGAAACCCTCCATCTCTGGGGTCCTGGCCATGATCCTCCACCCTCTTCAGCAAAGATTGAGAAAGTCTCTCTTCTGAAGAGCTACAACCCATTGGATTACCAATCATGAGCTTGATGGATTTCTGATGTTTCTGGATCACTAACATCAAATGGAGCATCATGATGATTGTGGCTTGTTATTTAAGCCTCCCCTCCAAATTCCCCTCCAAGTTCCCTTTTTGAAAGCTGCAGATCTTTTGTAAGGAAAAAAATTATTTGATCCCCTGCTGATTTTGTTTGCCCACTGACAAAGAAGTGATCAGTCTATGATTTTAATGATAGGTTTATTTTAACAGTGAAAGACAAAATAACAACAAAAAAATCCAGAAAAATGCATTTCAAAAAAGTTACAAGTTGATTTGCATTTTAATGAGAGAAATAAGTATTTGATCCCCTATCAATCAGCAAGATTTCTGGCTCCCAGGTGTCTTTTATACAGGTAATGAGCTGAGATTATTAAAGGGAGTGCTCCTAATCTCAGCTTGTTACCTGTATAAAAGACACCTGTCCACAGAAGCAATCAATCAGATTCCCAACTCTCTACCATGGCCAAGACCAAAGAGCTGTCCAAGGATGTCAGGAACAAGATTGTAGACCTACACAAGGCTGGAATGGGCTACAAGACTATCATCAAGCAACTTGGTGAGAAGGTGACAACAATTGGTGCAATTATTTGCAAATGGAAGAAACACAAAATAACTGTCAATCTCCCTCGGTCTGGTGCTCCATGCAAGATCTCACCTCGTGGAGTTTCAGTGATCATGAGAATGGTGAGGAATCAGCACAGAACTACACAGGAGGATCTTGTCAATGATCTCAAGGCAGCTGGGACCAAGAAAACAATTGGTAACACACTATGCCGTGAAGGACTGAAATCTTGCAGTGCCCGAAAGGTCCCCCTGCTCAAGAAAGCCCATGTACAGGCCTGTCTGAAGTTTGCTAATGAATATCTGAATGATTCAGAGGAGAACTGGGTGAAAGTGTTGTGGTCAGGTGGGGCCAAAATCAAGCTCTTTGGCATCAACTCAACTTGCTGTGGTTTGGAGGAGGAGGAATGCTGCCTATGACCCCAAGAATACCATCCCCATCGTCAAACATAGAGCTGGAAACATTATGCTTTGGGGGTGTTTTTATGCTAAGGGGACAGGACAACTTCACCGCATCAAAGGGACAATGGACGGGGCCATGTACCGTCAAATCTTGAGTGAGAACCTCCTTCTCTCAGCCAGGGCATTGAAAATGGGTCGTGGATGGGTATTCCAGCGCCAAGGAAACAAAGGAGAGGCTCAAGAAGAAGCACATTAAGGTCCTGGAGTGGCCTAGCCAGTCTCCAGACCTTAATCCAGTGGTGGGATTCAGCCGGTTTGCACCACTTCGGCAGAACCGGTAGCTAATTTTTTGTTGCCCAGCCCAGAATGGACTTCCGGAAGTGGAACTGATTGCTCACATATTTGAATCCCACCATTGCTTTAATCCCATAGAAAATCTGTGGAGGGAACTGAAGATTCGAGCTGCCAAACATCAGCCTTGAAACCTTAATGACTTGGAGAGAATCTGCAAAGAGGAGTGGGACAAAAATCCCCCCTGAGATGTGTGCAAACCTGGTGGCCAACTACAGGAAACGTCTGACCTCTGTGATTACCAACAAGGATTTTGCCACCAAGTTCTAAGTCATGTTTTGCAAAGGGATCAAATACTTATTTCACTCATTAAAATGCAAATCAATTTATAACTTTTTTGAAATGCGTTTTTCTGGATTTTGTTTTTGGTATTATTCTGTCTCTCCTTGTTAAAATAAACCTACCATTAAAATTATAGACTGATCATTTCTTTGCCTGTGGGCAAACGTACAAAATCAGCAGGAGATCAAATATTTTTTTCCTCACTGTTTAAGCCTCACTTTTTCTAGCTAAAGCAAACCCAAAATCTGGGTTGCAACACAGTGTCTCTGTGTATTTGTTTTATTAATTTATTTTCTCCCTTTTAGGTGAAAGGCATGCTGGCAATGAATGTGATAAGTAGCATTGCAGCTGGCATTGGCATCATATGCTTGTTTGTAACCCTCAGCTACAACTTAGTATTCTATGTCAGGCATCTTTGCAATCATGATGATACTGAAGCTAAGGAAAAATGTTACGAAACTATGATGTCCTCTTTTGTAAGTTTGTGGCTTCCCAGAATTCCTTTGTAAGGTTGATTGAACAAAGCAGAGAAGGGAGGTCATGGAGATCTCTAGCTGATGGTATAATTCTTTGGAGAATGTGGTGGGGTCAAAAACATGTCCCAAACAGAGTTTTAGCTATGGAAAGGAGGGCCACGAATTTTGCCTTGGGATTTCTAGAATTTGGTCTCTTATATTTTATTTTGCCCAACTTTTCAAAGCAGTTGCAACAAGGGGCTGTCTTTGGGCATGGCCCAGCATTCAAGATAGTGGCTGTGATAGTGCAATCAGATTTTTGCCAGATTTTTTATGTGTGGCATAAAAAAAAATCTGGCCAGAGCATTGTGCTGTTGTGGTTTGCATTTGACTTTTCCCCCCATCAAATCCTAACTTTTTTTTTTTTGACAGAACTATGGATTGCAGCTTTTGTGTAGTCTGACAAAACTAAATGGTTTTAACAGGTCCCATTCTGATTTTGGGCTACTTATACTACCCAGAATTCTGCATAAAGGCTACAATTACTTGGGTTGAAATTGGCTGTAAATACAGAATCTTGCAAGTGATTGGGCTCTCCCTTCCCCCCCTTCTTAAATAGCAGTGAATTAGGGAGGTGTTGGCTTGAGCCATTTCCAAGTCAAGTATTATCTCATAGCTCTGGGCTTCAAAAACCCTTCATTTCCTTTTTTGGCCAGGCCACAGATCCTGCATGGCCACAGATCCTGCATATCTCATTGTCATCTTCCTTACTTTATAATTGTACAATTGGAGATAAATGTGATTATCTGTATGTATAGAAAATGACATGTTACTTTTCTGCTTCATTGATACCTGTAGAACATCTTGAATGGAATAATAATTATTCTTACTGTGTTCACCTTCCTGGAGTTTTGCATCACCATCTCCATTGCATCTTTTGGATGTAAGATGCTTTGCCGAAATGCCTTCCCTGAAACGGTAAGATTCCAAAGGAAGAACGGTAGTTAATCAAGGGAGATTGATTTTGGCTTGCCAATAAACTTATGTTCTAGTTCACATGTTGTACTAAGTGCTGTAAAAGAACAAAATTATTAGGCTTCCCACGATATGTTACATTGCAGATCTGGATTATCAATAGCAGTGGATAGATTTTCGTATTGTGATAAAGAAAACAAAACGCCTTACAAATCTCAGTGAACCAAGCCTCCATCTTTGATTGACAGAGGAAGAAGAATGAGTCTCGCCATCCAATTAAGTACTGCCTAATGTAAACACAGTCCAAGGGGACTTTGGATTGAATCCCCCAAAAATGCTTTGGAATGTGCAGGAGGGTTTGAACCAGCTGCATCTCTTTCTGTGACTTGGGAAGCCATGCAAAACCAGAAAAGGATGTGGCTGCTTTAAAGAGAGGTAGTGCTAGACAGGGACAGACTTAGTCAATAGGCTGTTGGAAAGCTAAGGACTTGTACTCTGAGCTGTGGAATGAGAAATGTACGCACAGCAGATGTCCTTAAAGCCTGCATTTTTCCCCCTTTAGGTTGTAATCATTTATCAGAATGAGACTCCTGCCAGTGCAGAACACTCACCTGTTGACTGCAAACAGTCAGAATCCACCTGAATTGCTTTCCCTTCTTAGTAGTTATTCTGAAGCGTATTTGCCTCCTATCAATTGAAGCCTTAAATTTTTAAAGGAGTTGCATATAACCTTTTCATCAGAGGATCACGAACAATACAATGGATTAAGCAAAGCATCATGTATAAAAGTTCTTCAGAATCTGAATGTTCTTTATGGCTGGCTAAAGTGTCTCTTTGTGAGCTGGTTGGCATGTTGCACCAAGTTATGGTTTGCTGTTGGAAAATGCTCATTTTAACCTGGGTTTGATCATCATTAATGTATGGTTTGATGCATTCGGCAACCTGTTCTTGAATTGAGTATGACTCCAAGTTATGCAGTTATTTTGACCAATGTGCAGAAATAATTTGCGGCTATCTTTTTTTAAAAAAAAATAATAATAGTATTTCCTAGCATAGTCTACAGCTGTGAGAAGAATTTAAAACTGAAGGCCTTGTGTCCATTTAATGTTTGTAAGACATTCCAGAAATTGATTTGATCATGGAGATGCCACACCTTCTAATAAATTGCTAAGCTTGTCACTTGCCATTTTTATTTTCTCTGAATTCCACAGAAATAAAGATGGTTGTAGGACTCTGGTTTAGACAGGTGTGGCACCAATTACATTGTTCTCCTCACCCTATGGAACATTCTACTGGTTTTCCAGAAGCAGTTCAAGATCTGGTTTTGTCAACTAGCAGAGGGATCCAAGAACGATAGGTAACTCTGGGGGTGATTGGTAGTTTGGGGGTATATGTCTCTTTAACTTTGTCCTTTTAACTTTTTCTTTTAATTTTGTCCTTTTTGTATGATTTTAGTTTTTTTATCTGCATATCACTGAAAGTCACTTCAATAGTAGAATGGATTGTGTATAAATTTGATTAATAAATAAATAAAACAGGGCACTTCTTTTAAAGCAGCTGTGTCTTTTCCCAGAATTGTGCAATGATCTTGAGAAAAGACATGGTTGCTTTAAAGGCACCACATTAACATTCCCATACATTCCAAAGCACCTCGTCGGAATCTTTCCCAAAATACCGGAATCCCAGAAGTGGGTACCCTTTTGGAAGGAGCCACAGTTCTTGCCATCCGAAAATTGAGGCTGCTGTCAAGATGGTGCCCACTTCTGAGATGGCGCGGCGCAGCCTCTGAATAGAAAGACTACGTGGTGGAACAACTGCTTCTCTTTCTGAAAGTCGATCGGGACAGAGGTGGGTGGGAAGGAGGCCAAAAGTTATGGGATCCAACAGGGTAGGAAGCTGTGCAAAGGGTGCCTCGGAGTGGGGGAGGTCTAGGATGGGCCATTTGTGAGCTGGGCAGGTGCTGCCATGCTGGCCAGGGCTTCTCCCAATCCCTAAAGCACCCTCTGCTCTACTTAATGACCGCAGGAGGGAGAGCTTGGATTCTTCCCAATGGATTCTGTTTCTGCATTTGGTTATTTGGTCAACCCATCCATCATGAAGTGTTCACTTTCTGATAAATGTATACCAGGACCACTCTGCTCTCCCAGACATTCAAAGGGGAAGAAGCAGAAAGGTCTCCATATGTATATATAAATGTATGTATGTATGTATGTATGTATGTATGTATGTATGTATGTATGTAGGTCTTGGCGTATTCGGGTCTTTTCCCGTGTAAGATGAAAAAAGACCTGAATATGCCAAGACCTACATACCTGTACCCATGAAAATCTACGAAAACAAGTATGTATGTATGTATATATTAAAAAATTCAAATAGATACCATTGTTTTGGAGACTCTGTTCTCTCTCTCTCTTTGCTGGCCCTTGTGCTTTACAGCAAGCACGTTTGGAAGGCTTAAAAGATACCCATATGCATTGGACAAAAATACATACTTGGTTAGAAAAAAAATGTTAGGGAAACACGTAAATTTTAAACCTGAACTTTTTTTTATTAGGTATAATTCCAGAAAAAATCAATAAACAAAGTGCATATTTAATATTACATGTATTAATAGCAGCGAGGATTGTATTTGCCCAGCACTGGAAAAATGAAGAAACACTATTGGGCGGAGAAATAATCAGGAAAATACTAGACTGTGATGAAATGGGCAGACTTACTTTAAGGATTAAAGAAAAAGAAGATACAAAAACATTTTCAAACGTGGAACTTATTTTATCAATGGCTGGAAAAACGGACTAGACTCGCAGTGTTTCTCAACCTTGACAATTTTAAGGCATGTGGACTTCAACTCCCAGAATTCCACAGCCAGCATTGCTGGCTGTGGGATTCTGGGAGTTGAAGTCCACATGCCTTAAAATTGTCAAGGTTGAGAAACACTGGACTAGAGAGTAAGAATTTAACTTGCATAACTAAATATAAGAGACGAACCCAAAGAACACCTTGTTTACTAAGCACTAATGAAATATAACAAATAGAAAATCAATAAAATATTATTTTTTAAAAAAGATACCCAGGTGCTGCGATGTTTTCTGCCGATCAGAGTCAAGCAAACCATGGCCATCATTCCCTGGAAGGGAAGCCAAAGTTGGACATGGAAGAAAGAAGCCGAGGGGAACCAATGTCGGCTTCTTTGAACTCGGCGCTGGAGGAGGCTCCGCTCCGCTCCCTCGCAGCACAGATCGCTGGCCTGACTCTCCCGGGAGAAGGGTAAGGAGCCGGAAAGCCCCGCCTTTCGATGCCATTCCGGCGGGGTGAATCACCGCCTCTTTCCCGGACGGGCGACGCTCAGCTCCGCGGTTAAGCAGCGGCTTCGCCGGACGAGGAGACGGGGCGCTGCCGAGCCGAGCCGGAGCGGATGGGTCAGCCTCTGTCCGAAAGGCAGGGAGGGAGGCAGGGAGGGGAGGCAGCCGGCTGGCTCCCTCTTCTTCCCCTTCCTTTCGAAGCCGCCTGGGGGCGATAGTCGGTGGGCAGGGAGAGGGGTTCTTGCGCGGCAGAAGCTCGCAGGCAGACGCCGCCTCTGGATCCGCTTCTGCGCTTCTTTCGGGCAGATCCGAGCGGCGCGTCTTTGCGCGCGGGGAGGGAGAGAGCGGGGCGCTTCTCGAAAGCGCGTCGCTTTGTTAGAGAACCCCGTTTCCTGGTTTCTCACGACCCGTGTCAGCCCCCGAGCGATGGCCCGTCGCGCGCTCGGAGCGCTACTTTGCGGGGCTTTTTCGGGGTGGCCGTTCAGGTTTAACCTGTTTGATGGAACGCAGCAGCTGCATTTTCAATGTGTGCGTTTTATTTTATTTTTTGGCCTCGGCGCGTTTTTTTAGCCCTGTTGTTGGCACGATTCGGCGTACTTCGCAAGCAAGTAAATGAAGTAAGGGCGTTAAATCGTGTTGCGTCAATCCAGCCGAGGTCCCGCGAACGCCAAACTGTCTTGTGTGTGTGTGTGTGTGTGTGTGTGTGGAGGGTGGATTGAGGAAGTTCAGCTTCTGAAGTGCTGGTGTCTAGAGTGGAGAAACTGCTGGGGAATTGCTAAAGTTATCTAATGTTGGATCTGTGTTGGCACAGATACTTGAGATAAACGTGGGATCTGGCTGTGATGGGACACACTTGACCCAACGCACTGAATTGTTGATCTCTCTCCTTACCATTAGCATGAATTTGGCATTTGACTGGTATCTTAGCCTATTCCTTCTCTATATTATTATTATTATTATTATTATTATTATTATTATTATTATTATTATTATTATTATTATTATTATTATTATTATTATTATTATTATTATTATTATTATTATTATTATTATTATTATTATGGTTGGTTGCACAATCAGCCAGATGTTTATAGATTGGATTTGGCATTTTTGGCTAGCTCAGGACCTGGGATGGGCAAAAGTTGTTGTTTGAAGGTGTCACTGCAGGTTGTAAGCTGTTCCCAGGAAAGCTGTTTTTCTATGCTTCCTGTAATAGGGCTCTCCTGCAGTTAATTTGTTTGGCTCTTGATAGAAGATGGAAGCTGCATTGACATTAATTAGGCTCCAATCTATCATCATATTTGTGTAGGCTACCTGGAGTCATCAGAAATGAATTGGCCGGCCATATAAATTTTTGAGCAATAACTTTTAAGTCTGTGGAAGAAGCTGTCAGTCATGCTTCACCAAACGCTAAACTGGGTCTAAACATGGTTTGCAAATTGCAAAGATTCTGTTTGTGCAGTGAATAAACCAAGCTGATCTTCAGGCCTGACTTTTCGTAATGTTTCTTATCCTCAAAAATAGTTCCTATCCTCAATTCAATCAGATAAATACACAGTCACGTGTCATTTAGAAGTTCATTTGTCTAATATTGTTGGAGGGGCAGACCTGAATGCCCTTTCTTGCCTTAGATGGAAGATTCTCTTTTTGCTCTTATCCCAAAGATATGAGAGTCTGGCTGTGAAGATTCTGAAAATAACTGCATTTCCATCTTAGGAAAATGTAACCACTAGGCCACTGTCTACTATTGTAGGTGAAGAAAAATGCTGCCAATTAAGGATAAAAAATTATGTAAAGTACATTCCTTCTAAGCTTCCTGATGCAGAACCTAACTACTGGGAAATTAAAAATGGGGATCATATGTTTTATATTTTATAATACTTACTATGTTATTATACTCTCCATTTTCCTTCCTTTCTATGGTCCCCAGCATTGCTGACTTTGATGTCCTAAAGGAGCCTCCCTTCTTGCAGACCCCAGTATGGATTCTGTTGTGGTCATGGGCCCAGAATCCTTGCCTTTCACCATTAAGAGCGATCTTCCAGTCCCGGTGAAAAAGTTTTATCAGGGTGAACCTCTGGCCCTGGGGGTGAGTATGGAAATGAGTGGAATGTTAACTTCTCTCTTTTTGAGAATCCCATGGTCCCCCCTTCTGTTGCAATAGGAGCAAGAGGATTCTTTGTTTAGGCCCATATGAAAATTCTTAAACCATTTGTTATTCTGACCAGATAAGGAAACATGTAAAAACTATATAATCCCCTCCCCCTTAAGGGAAGGTGATCTTGAGGCCCAGAAAAATAAAATTAACACAAAAATCCCTTCTCTTTGTATCTCTCTCTCTCTCTCTCTCTCTCTCTCTCTATATATATATATATATATATATATATATATATATATATATATATATATATATATATATATATATATATATATATGTTCGAAGGGTCACAAGCAGTGAGACCACCAGGAGATTAAAAAGTTACAAAAATTTATTGCTATTAAAACATTAAAACACCTAGCTTTCGCCGGCCTCCTGCCGGCTTCGTCAGGGTGACTAG